GTGTGTTCGTCTAAATCATTTACTCAAGAAATAGTGAGTATAGAAATACATATTTTTTTTAGGAAGTGTTATTGACATTCCAAAAATCTTATTCTACACTCCTCACAAGTGTGTTTTTCTTTCCTAATATAGAAAGTTTTGGAATGTAGAATGAGATTTTTGGAGTGCTAATAATAATTTTTTTTTTTTTTTTTTACGTTTTCATATTACTGACAAAATGGGCAACTGAAAATGGCCAACGTAAAAAAATCAAAAAAACAAAAACGAAAAAAAAAGGAAGAAGACAAAAAAAAAGGCCAACTAAAAAGCCGACACAAATCATGACTCTTGGGCTCCCTCTTTTTCTTGGTTGGCCTGCCTGTTTTGATTTTACTTGGCTGGCCCTAATTGAAAAAAAAAAAAAAAAATATTTGATGTGCTTCATTCACGAAGCACAAACAGATGCTTCTTTTAGAAAGTATTTCATGTATTTTTTTAACTCTATATAAGTACTTGGCTTATTAGTCGGATTGCTCCCTGAAAATGTAATTGAGTCTCAGTTTACTTCTTGAAATTGGTTTTGTCTCATCTTACCCACTTTTATTAATGGACTATTAAATTTAAGAGTATTTTGGACATTTCAGTTTTACACATTTATTTACATCTAGCCGCACACTAAACAAGTCTCAATTTTATTTTTGACAACTCTAATTCAAACGCATAAATTTGGACATTTTAAAAAATAAATTGTAGCAACAAAATCATTGTATCAACCAAAATAAAGGTTGCATTTGTTCATAGAGTCATGGATGTCTTGCAAGTAAAATGACTCTACAAACAAATGTAACCCTTATTTTGGTTAATACAATGATTTTGTTGCTCGAAAAATTTCTATTGATTGAATTTTTAAAAATGCTCAAAATTTATGCGTTTGAATTAGACTTGTTAGAAATAAAATTGAGACTTGTTTAGTGTGTAGGCTAGAGGTAAATAAATGTATAAAATTTGAAATGTCTAAAATACCCTTAAATTCAACAGTCCATTAACGAAAGTGGGTAAAGTGAGACAAAAGAGTTGAAAACGTCAATTTCAAGACGCAAAGTGAAGCAAAATTAGTTTCAAAGGGCATTTCGACTAACAAGCCTAAGTACTTTTAATTTTCTTTGCTAAACACTATAAAACGCTTTTAGTTAATTTAGATAAACTTCCAAATATCCCTAATATCCACGGTGGGAACTTTTTCCCTTTTTTATTTTTTTATGGCTTGTAATGTCACAATTTAAGAGTATCTCCAAAGAAGGTTGTAAGGAAATAGGCAAAAATACCAAAAGGTTTCGTGAGGCAAAATAGCCTAGTTGTAGGAGATAAGGTAATTTTGGGTCCTCACCAATGTCAAATTGAACTAAAAAACCGAAAGAAAAATCAAACCAAATTGAATCGAACAATAATTCAGTGTGATTTAACCAAAAAAATGAACCGGTTAAAATTGAATTCACCCCAATTGTATGGGGTGTGCTTGGAGTTTTTGAAGAGGAAAAAGCGGAGGAGAGAGAGTGGGATGGTGGTGGGTCAGAGAAGAATTAAAAATAAAATAAAAGTTGTGGTCACGTGTCACACGTCTAAAGTAAGATTTTTTTTTAACGCTTTTAATAAACTTTGTCACGGAAAAACCATTTGCACAATGTAAAACCATTTGTGCGACGTCGTACAAAGGATATGGTTTGCAATTTTTTGAGAATAATACTTGGCTAAACTTTGTCGTGGGAAAACCATTTGTGCGACATCGTACAAAGGATATGGTCTGCAATTTTTGAGAATAATACTTGGCTAAACTTTGTCGCGGGAAAACCATTTGTGCGACATCGTACAAAAGATATGGTCTGCAATTTTTGAGAATAATATTTGGCTACTCAGAGAATAAATAAGAGTTCCTACACAAAATTGTTTATTGTTGATTCATATAACTTTGTTTTCATGATCATAATCGTTCATAATATAAATCACTTTATAAACGTTACATCTGCAAAAAAAAAATCAATTAAAATTAAGGTAATTTAGTATTCTATAAAAACATATGAGCAGAATTAGCAAAAGTATTATGAACCGTTTATGTATTTGCTACAACAGATTAACTAGACGACTTTAGTTTTAATTCATTTTTTGCAGAGATAATTTTTACATAGTGATTTATAATATGAACAGTTCGAACACAAGCACGAAACTCTGCTATTCGAACACGAGAGTTTTGAGTTAAAGTTTCTACTTATCTTTAAATAGCTAATTATTGTTCTTCTTTTTAGGGAGATATTTGACATGACAAATATTAAAAGACAAAATGCCGATAACTATGAAATTTCATTTTGTGATGGTTTTGACGCGGAGGCTGTCCGGTCAACGTCGGACTCCGTGAATAAAAATGCCACGTAGGTCCCAATTATTTTTCCACAAAGTCGTTGTTTTTGTTTGCGGGAGTGGGGGACTTGCTTTTGGCCTTTATGTAACTCCCATCGCTTTATTATTTGCCCATTTCATATTTTGACCGGACAATTCATAATTTTTGCATTTTTGGAGTTAATATTTGACTAAGAAGATAATTGTTGGCCGCCATCAAACTTTTCTAAATCCATTTGTGGCCCCAAGGAAATTTATAGTATTCCACTTTGAATTTTATTTTCTGCACATCATTACTTTGATCAATTAATTTACATGAAGAGGAATGCTAAGATTTGGAATGGTAAGAAAGCTCCTTTTTTTTCTTTTCTTCTGACCAGATGAGATGATGATTAGTGGGTCAGTGTGTGCTCTTGATCACAATTATTAAAGGGATGTGCTATTCACACATTATTTTTTAATTCTCACACATCTCTTGTTAATTTCTGTCCGTTGATCTTCTTCATTTTATCTGATTTGACGATCAAAAATTAGAAGGGAGTGTGAAAAGTAAAAATGTTGTGTGGATATCACACCCCTTATTAAAGGGAAGGGAAGGTGCTGGGCTGCCCTATGAATCAATTTCGGGCCGCCATGTCTATCTGTGCGAGAGTCATAAGTAGAAAGAGGAATGTTTGACGTAGTCAGTCTCATCTTTGAGGGATTCTTCATAGATTATCTATTACCTCATAGTTTAGCGTCAATTCTCATACCAACGTTATAAAATATGTGGTAAAAATATGAGATGACAGAGAGTTTATGAAGAATCTCATTGTTAACAGAGTCCCTCCATTAGCATTTTTCTTCACATGAATGATCATCAAAAGCACATAAAAGTCCTTAGAATAATCATTTAACTCTACTTTGGTTCAAGTTGAGGACCAGTCAAGAGTTATTCAGTGTACGTGTTAAAAAAGTCTTGGTCTCTCACCAATTAACTAATAGTTAGGTACTTATTTGGGGATAATATCTTGATACTTGGCCAAATTCTTATCTAATAATGTGAGTCAATAATTAGCAACATATGTACTTTTACGTAAGTTCATCCAATTCGAGATTGTGAATATGCAGAGAGAAGTCAATCTCTTTTCAAACTTTTTGTTTGCAAAAAAACATATGTAATTTTATTTGGTTGTTAATTAGATGAACTTACTTTTTTTTCTTTTTTTTATTTTATGAAAAACTTGTATGAGTAACTCAAATAAAACACAAAGATCATCCTTAAACAAATAAAGATTTTTTTTTTTTTAAAAAAAAAAAATCAAGGTCAACATAGTGTCATATTTTGTTCTTCGGTGAAATTTGTAAAGTACTATATCATACTGGTAATACCGACACTTTATTTACAACATTAAAAGAAGTTTCAAACTTGAATTATTCGTCCAAATTCAAAAGAAAGCGACATTAATTAAACTTTTTCATAAGAAAATGACTTATTTGAGCTTATCTTAATTGAATTTGGAACAAAAAAAATTAGATATCACTATCATTCTGGCCAAATTTTTTGTGGAAGTATGTGACATGAGGCCAAAGTTGCCAATAATTCCATATGGAAAAAGAGAAAAGAAAAATCAAAGGCAAAGACGTGCTAAAAAGAAAAAGATCATGGTCTGTTTAATAAAAATGTGATGTGATCCTCTCTAATCCAAACACGCTAAACTACAAAGACCAAAATATTAATTAGAGAAAGAGAAATATGAAGAATAGTCTCAAAGTGTAATTTTTATAGATTTTCTATTGCCTCACAGTTTAATGTTACTTTTTATGTAAAATATTCTAAAATATCATGTTAAAAATATGAGGTGGAGTCTCCTTAGCATTTCTCAATATGGTGTGTCAGGCACCTCTTATTTTTCATAATATTGTGTAAAGTAAATTGTAGTAATAGTCCCTTATTTTTAACTCAACTAGAGCAATGGTCTCTCAACTAAAAATCTATTACTATTGGTCTCTCAACACATCAAAACGTGCAGTTATGATTCTTCAACTAAACATCTATTACCATTGATCCCTCAACTTTAATCCAACTGAAGAAATGATCCATCAACTTTAACCTAATTAGAGCAATAATTCCTCAACTTTAACACAATTGTAGAAATGGTCATTCCAACTCATTTTGAAAAAATTCTAACGAAGTTGACGAAAATGATCATAGCTACATGTTTTGATGAGTTGATGGACTCCAATTGTAGCAACAGTCCTTTTAACATAACTTATTTTGCCAAAATTTTGATAATGTTAACGAAAATGATCATACCTATATATTTTGATAAGTTCAAGGACCAATGGTAATGAATTTTTAGTTGAGAGACCATTGCTCAAATTTGATTAAAGTTGAGGGATTATTGTTACAATTTACTCTAATATATAATATTAGTACCAAAATTAATGTTAAACAGTAAAAATTCTATAAAGAGTCTCATTTTTAAGAGAATTTCCTTACCATTTTTTCCAAATCAATCACAATAATTTCATAACAGCAATTAATCACAATAATTTCATAACAGCAATTATCGTATCAGTATTATAAAATATTTGATGAAAATATGAGGTGATATAGAGTATCCAAGAGAGTGTCTTGGCATTTTTCTTTCCAAAAACTAAATATCAAAATTTCAATATTTTCAACCACACCACCATAAAGCCATAACTGAACATGGCTTCATTAATGCTTCCGGTGGCTCTGAAAGTGACTCCACAATACAAAGACATAGACAAAGCCTCGGCGGTTGGTTGAGCGGGCACACTCCTCACTGCTTCTCTCTCTCATTAAATGTTCTACCTCCTCCTCCTTCAAAGTTTCAAACCCACTCTCTATTCGCAGGGTACTCTTAATTGTCAGTTTTGTTTGTCGGGTCTTTGAAGTTCGCAATTTTGGTTGGTGGGTTTTCTTAAGTTGCTGAAATTTTTAATCTTGGTGGAGAAAAGAAGAATTTTCAGAGAAATGGCGGAGACCACGACGGAGAAGAATTTCCATTGATGACCATGAAGTTGTTATCTGTAGCTAAAACGGCAATGGGGCGAGAGCCCAAGTCGGCGCCTTTGCCATAGCCTTAATCTTGTTCGTGATTCAGAGTGGTTTTGCGCAGCAGGGTTCTTTGAGCTCCAACATGGAGCTGTCGGCGTTACTGGAGCTCCGGTCTTCGTTGGGTCTCAGAAGCAAAAACTGGCCCAAAAGGGCCGACCCATGTTCATCCTGGACCGGAGTCACATGCAGCAAGAACGGCCGAGTCACTGGAATTACCTTGTCCGGTTTGAGGCGAACCCGAGTGGGCCGGCAAAACCCCCGGTTCTCCGTCGATTCACTGGCTAATATCACCCTCTTGGCTTCTTTCAACGCCTCCGGGTTCGCGCTTCCTGGGTCCATACCCGACTGGTTTGGCCAAAGACTTGGTGCACTCCAGGTGCTCGACCTTAGGTCTGCGTCAGTCATTGGTTCTATTCCCCAGTCGCTTGGTAATTTGAAAAATCTTACTTCTTTGTATTTATCTGGCAATGGTATTACTGGGATTTTACCTTCTGCGTTGATAAACATAACAGAGTTGGAAATTATTGATCTTTCGAGGAATGCGATTACTGGGTCCTATACCTTCTGGCTTTGCCAATCTTGGAAAGCTTAAAAGTCTTGACGTTTCTTCAAATTTTCTATCTGGGTCGGTTCCACCAGGTTTGGGAACCCTTTCAAGGCTTAAGTTCTTGGACTTGTCTGATAATAGTCTCACCAATTCGATTCCGGTTCAGTTTAGTAACCTTTCCCGGTTGGTTGAGCTTGATCTTAGCAAGAACACTTTGTCTGGGTCATTGCCTGTGGAACTGAGAGGGTTGAGGAGTTTGAGAAGGATGGGGATTGGAGATAATGCTCTCGAAGGTCCATTGCCGGAGGGTTTGTTTTCGAGTCTTGTTCAGCTGGAAGTTCTGGTTCTGAGTCGGAATAAATTTGGTGGTGCTCTTCCTGGTGCCTTGTGGTCACTTCCCAGTTTGCGATTTCTCGATGTATCCCGCAACAATTTTACAGGAACTCTACCGAACCTGGGTTCAAATGCTAGTGTTAGTGGCGCTGTGTTCAACCTTTCTCATAATCTGTTATATGGAAATCTTACTTTTCCTGTTGGGAAATTTGTCTCAATCGATTTGTCTGATAATTTTTTCCAAGGCAAGGTATTAGAAGATAGTCAAAGCAATGATACTCTTACTGGAAATTGCCTACAGATTGTACCAAATCAAAGGAGTTTGCAGGATTGTAGGCAGTTTTATGAAGAGAGGGGTTTAAGTTTCGATGATTTTGGGGCCCTAGAACCAGCTCAGCCACCTTTCCTAGAACCTAAATCAAAAAGCAAGAACCGATTAACATTTATATTGGTTGGGATATTTGGTGGACTCGGCTTCATTGTGATTTTGGTACTGGTTCTGGTAGTGCTCCTGAAAATGTGCAATAAAGGCACAAATCAACGTGGAAGTGCAAATGTTGGGCCTGTTCCAGAAGGAGATGACCCTTCACTCCCAAAGATCTCATCGATGCATCAGGTCGAGGAGATTCATTTACGTATGAGCAGATTCTCCAGTCCACTTCTGCTTTCAGTGAAGCAAATCTTATAAAACATGGACACTCTGGAGACATATACCGAGGATCCTTGGCGAGTGGAACCCCTGTAGTTATCAAAAGGGTAAATTTGCATTCCGTAAAGAAAGAATCATACACGATAGAAATGGATTTATTCAGCAAGGTTTCACATATGAGATTGGTGCCACTTTTGGGTCACTGCTTGGAGCATGAGAGCGAGAAGCTTCTGGTTTACAAATACATGCCAAATGGAGACTTGGCTAGTTCCTTGCACAGGGTTACCAACTTAGGAGATGGCAATTTACAGTCCCTGGATTGGATTACAAGATTAAAAATTGCAATTGGAGCTGCTGAAATCCTAGCTTACCTACATCATGAATGCAGCCCACCACTCGTTCACAGGTATTCCTGATCTTGCTTTCAGCTATTCTCACATCTTATAGCCATTGTTCATGGATTATAGTGATTTCGAGTCCTTGTACTAATAAAATGTAGTATTTTTTGGCTCAAGTCATTGATGTCTAATAAACCTGCTTAGTCTATCAAAATAAAGATTACATAATGATAGTGAATGGTTACAAATACAACTACTGAAACCGAAGGCAAAGTACGCCTTGTGGTTGATAGTTTATGGTTACACCACTTGGTACCTTTCGTTCGAGACTGTAGTTCCTAGACTGACTATAGTTTTTTACTCCATGCTTAATTGTGTTGTATTTTGCTAATTTTAGTTAGTTGACAAGCGATTGAAAGTTTATTTTTGGTTGTTGAAGAGATGTTCAAGCAAGCAGTATACTTCTCGATGATAAATTTGAGGTCCGGCTTGGAAGCTGGAGTGAGGTCCGTGTGCAAGAAGGGGATGGTAACCCAAATGTGATCACGAGATTGTTGCGGAAACAACAGTAAGTGTTCCTTATGAGTAGCCCTGCATGCATAACATATGTGATCTTTAGCATTTTTCATCAAATTATACTTCAGTCGTGGATAATATATGAGAAGCATAATCACAGTTTCCGTTCTGTCTTATGCAGAACCTTGGAACAAAGCCCTTATGGTACGTAAATCTACTTGAAACATTTTTTCTGAAAATTTCGTTCCTCGTATCTCCCTTCCCAGTTAAACCTCTCAAGTCTTGGGTCCTTATATTTCTCGTTCAATAGATTAATTAGTTTTCGTTTCTTTCTGCGTGGACAGCCTCAGCATCAGCTGCTTGCTCATATGATGTATACTGTTTCGGGAAGGTTTTGCTTGAGCTTGTAACGGGTAAGCTTGGCATCAGCAAATCTGATGATTCCACTACAAGGGAGTTGTTGGATCACACGGTGCGCTACATCAGCATATATGACAAGGAACTGTTGAATAAGATTGTTGACCCATCTCTGATAGTAGATGAAGATCTATTGGAAGAAGTTTGGGCCATGGCGATCGTGGCCAGGTCCTGCCTCAACCCCAAGCCGTCTAAGCGTCCCCCGATGAAATACATCCTTAAAGCATTGGAAAACCCTCTAAAGGTGGTGAGGGAAGAGAGTTCCAGCTCTGCAAGGCTGCGAACGGCTTCATCGAGAAGATCCTGGAGCACTGCTTTCTTTGGTAGCTGGCGGCAGAGCTCATCAGAGAGCGCCACCGCTCCTGGCCACACGAGCAGAGAGAGTATCAGTGGCTTAAAACGGGAATCCTCTGCATCACACAAAAGGTTATCAAGTGAAATATTCCCTGAGCCAATTGAAATACAAGATCTCGAGCGACAAGATGAACATTAGATATGAAGAACAACAACGCAGTCTTCACACAGACCTCCGGTATCTGCATTAAGCTCTGCATCTGCGATTCTACGTTAAGCTCGACGACGATGCCGGATAAAGATTACGAGCTATCTGGCGGATTGGAAATGCCTGGTGAAGTTGGTCTAAAAGTTGAGTCAGATTGTTATTGGTATGCTAAGCTTGTTAATTGAAGAAAACAAGCTGCAAAGCTCAGTGACAGATGCTTTATAAAAGATCCCACGAGCGGAGTATGAATTTGTTACAGATTGGAAATTGGTAATAAATCTATTACAAGAATTTTCGTGGTTGTCAAAATTCAAACTTCATCAGATACAAAAGCATTTGCACTGTTTCCGGAAGCACTTTTTTGACAAACAAAAGCACTTAAAAATATTTTGGCATAACTCCTTACTTTAGTTTTCGACAATGAAAATCGATAAAAGTCCCTAAGTTTGTCTACTGTACATCATTTTAATTTTTTTTTCGTAAAAATCCATCAATATCAAAAATACCCTTAAAGGGGTGATCACGTAATCGTTCACGTGACCAAAATGATTCATGGTCAATAGACTCAGGAACCACTTCTATCCATTTTCGTTGTCAATGACCAATTGAAGAGATGTGCCAATCTCAGGGCTATTTTAGCTAAATAGCCAAACTTAAAAGTGCATCCATTTTATAGAACCACTTTCTAGAAAAGCACTTCCAAATGCTTTTTGCATAATACAGTTCCAAAAAAGTCCTTAACAACCTAGATCATCTCGAGAGAAAAAAATCAAAGTGAATCGGAGGATAGTCATAACATGCAAGAAACATTTCATTCAGAATGCAGAAAAGTTTGTACCACATATGGGGCAAAGAAAAGTGAAGGGCTTTTAAGCACTTAATTTACAGCTCTGTATTGGAGCAAATCATTTACAGTTCACCTTGATCATCCATAAATGTTCGCGTCTTCTTATCACGAAGCAAACATGCTTCACAGGGGAAGAATATCGAATTCATGGGGCATGTAGTCTTCGCTCGGCCTGTAGTATTTGTCGGGTGAGTAGAGACTCAAGTTGGAAACCTGGCTAGTATAAAGGCAGGCAAATCTCTCGACCTGCATCATGAAAACACAGTTCCAATTGATGCCATCTTAGAGAAAAAGGCTTAAGTAAGAATGTATGTTTTTTTTAAAGGTCGACGCCATTTTACACCGCACCTGATGGGCAAAGCGGGAGTTCTGATAGCCAGTCTTCATGAGTTGCCCCCAAATCTTATGAAACTGCAAATGTAAGCAAACCACAAGTCAACATTCTTGAAACCGAACTCATATACCACTGGACTAAAGCCTCAGAACTAGGAAGCATGTTTCATGTTGTACAGGAGAATCACTACCATTTGGTGACATTCACGTTGAGCCTGTTGATGGGCGAAACGCACTTGATCTCTTTGAAACTATAAAATCAAGCCATTAAGAAGTATAAATACGAATTTCACAACTGTTGAGCAACATATTTAAGCAGCTGAAATAAACTTTACTCGGCAAGTTTAACAGGCTTACCTCCAAAGCATTGCATTCAGAAGATAATTTTTGCTTCTCCACAGTACTGAAATCGTCATATCTGATAAGGGCAATAGCATTTCTGTGTAAATTTTCGCTCACAATTAAAAATTTAATAAATAAAAGCACTATAGAATTCTAGATGAACACTGACTTCAGAGACCACTTTAGATGATGTATTTTGTCTTCAATCAGATCGCGTTCATTCCTCAACAATCGAAGTTGCTGTATGAACCAGCACACAAGTTAGCTTGTTGATCATGATACTACATTAAAAAAAAAAACAGCAGTTTCACAGGAAGTTTTAGAAAGACCTTGCGGGTATCTCTCAATTCCCATAGGAGTTCAACCTCCCTCTCTAGCTCTGGAACGACAAGCATTGTTCTCCACCCTATCCATAAAGACAAGAAATTAGGGAAAATATGATCACATTTGGGGAAGCAACGTAGAAGAAAAAAAACACGCACATTGTTTAAAGAAGTGACACAGATAACTGAATATCGGAAAAACAAAGGAAATTAGAAGATTCAGTACCAAGAACCTTTTTGCTGCGCAAAATATCTCCATATATATGGTCACCAACATAAAGAACCTATGAAAAATGTGTAAAATATTAGACCCAAGTTAGTTGGTAACATCGGTTTTTCTTGCAACTGACGTACTTCCAGGAAAGAATGGTTCACCTGTGAACTTGACTCAATTGAAAGCAGCTTATGAAGATGGCCAACGCTGCCTCCCTGAAACAATGTCAAGGGCACTATAACTCAAGTTGAAATAATTAACACAATAATCAGAAAAATGGAATGTTGTTGTTATAGAAAATAAACTATTCAGATAAAGCTATTAATATGATCCTATAATGCACTAAATATTTAAAAGAGTACCTGGAAAACTCTACAAGCCTTCTTCTGTCCCTTCAACGATAACATAGGTGTAGGTGAAGAACTTCCAACCTTTTGGAATATGAAATTAATTAATAAAACTGGATAAAATAAGAGGATACGAGTGTATAATGTGACGTACAATGCGTTATCAACATTAGCATACCAACCTGAGCCATAGGAGAACCATTATCAGTATTGATTAGCATCCCCGACTCGAGTTCTACCTCAAACAGATTAGCACGGTTACCATCATGAAAGAAGCTTGGCTTTGCACTGCATAGGTAACCACTTCTAATGGTTAGTAAAATGATAGTAACTATGACATAGGCGGTACATGGCAAATGCTTGGCAAATTCAGAGATGGTGAACATAAGGATAAACAGCATAACTCATAAAAACCTACACCATGTCGAAGGGTAGGGCAATTGAAATCCAGATTAGCATTCTCCAATTAAGGAATTAATAAAGTAGTGATATATGGTAATAGCAACAAGAATGCTTAGAGGAAAGGAAAAATCATGACCTGCCACTGATGACAACATCAAAGTATTTGAGCCAGTCGAAATTGCATTTTCTACTACCATCCACTGTACGCGACTCGCAGAGGAAATTCATCACAATGTTTGTGTAGTCCCATAAACTGTAAGACGTAAAATTTTTTATAAGAAAAGCGTGTGTTATAGATTATCAGCAAAAACATATATAAATTCTCAAATTTAATTAAACAGGAATAAAAGAAGCACGAATACCTGTTTGTCACTAGGAATGTAGCACGGCCAGAATCTCTCAGCATTTTGAGCATAGGAACTATGGAGGTATCTTCATTAATATACCTTGTAGCATTAATCATGAAGACCAAGTAAGATTGTTTTACAATTCAATTATTGATTAATCTGCATTATGTGAAACTAATACACAATGTTTATCCTTACCGCTGAGGGTCTTTTGCCACCATTTGCTTTAAGGTTCCATCACGGTGGCACAAATCAACAGCAGCTCGAACATCCTTGTACATAACAGCATAACTGAAAAGAAAAAAACAAAATAAATATTGATATAAAAGAATTTTACCATCCATGGACCACGGAGCAAGTCGTATTCTTACTCAACACCCTCCGGAATTTTTCCTGGATTTTTGTCTTTGAAGTCAACCAGTTGCGCAAACATGTAAGCTTCAGCTAGAGCAAAGAGGGTATCAATGATAATATAATCTGGCTCGTCAAAGGAATCCCGTATTAATGTATTTCCATAGGTGTTAACTTTATCTTCCTTAGATAACTCTTTGAATCCATGGTAAGCAACTTTCACATACTTATGTCGATCCATCTGCACATCCATGTAATACAAGTATTCACACAGAGATTCGTAAAGCAATAAAGAATAGAAATCCAACCTAACCTGGAATGACCACATAAAACATCAAAAAACCATAATCAACAGGATCACCTTCAAGATGTTGCCTCTCTTCTTATCCAGAACCAACCCTCTGACCATATATGTCCAATCGAAGGACCAATTCAGCAACTGCACCAGGTAATTATTGTTAATCAACATACTATGAATCGCTCATATTTTAAAATGGTAACAATGATGTTTACTAAGTGTTGAAATTATAAGGCACTAAAGAAAGAAAACACTATTGGGTTAATTGCAACATGAAACCAAAATAAGATGTGACATGTTCGCAACATAATGTCTTCCTGAAATGGAAAGAACAAAGGATAGAACAGACGAACCTCACGAGGGTATCCTAGATCATACACCAACTTTCGGATAGTTCCATCGTATGCAAGAGACTCAAAGGTTTCCGGCTTGTACTGTGCCAATGTGTAATCCATATCAAATCCTACCGCGACAATATTCTTCATATTCAACGATCTGTTGCAGAAAATCTGCTTTCTTAAGTCTATTTTACATCCTCCTTGGGGAGATGACCACACATATGGTTTTTGACCACCATCCGTCGAGCCCATATTTGCAAAATGTGATGGCTTGTCACCTCCTACAGCAGTCTCGTGGCCCTTTTCCATCGAATAGCTGGCATGCAATTGATAACCTCCTGTTAGATTACAGCAGTGGAGCAAAAATTAAAGCTTCTAATGGTGATTGAAAACGATGACATTTTCATTCAACTAAAGCATGATGCACTCTATGTACATTAACAGCTTCAGATAATGATTGTATACAGTACTTTTCAATAAAACAGCTCGAAAGTCCTCGTTTTTTCATCATTCTTGAACTGACCCATTTCGGAAATCATTTTCTTACAGAAACCCCATTTTCTGTCGGAAAATGAAGACGAAGAAGGAACAAACCAGAAGAAGAAAACCCCATTTCTACGAACAGAGAACCCGGGATTCGGGAAGCTTACCCGAAGTGCCAGACAAAAGTGAGCGCACAGTGCACCAGGTTAAGTTCCGACTCCACGAATCCTCCCAGCTACGCTCCAAGAGAGACCTAAAATTTCCAGTTTCTCAAAATTAAAAGAAAAGCTCTGTGCTTTTTGCTCTCTCGTTCGTTTCTCGCTGTTGAAACCCCCCAATACTTACAGCCCTCTCCTCCTACGAACTTCTAAAAAGCTTCACGCCAGATAACAAGGTAAAATCCCAAACCAACAAAAACCCACCAGCGACACGTAAATGCAGACACAGCCCTCGCAAAACTCACGCTTCAAAAGCTCAAAAAAATGGCTAAAGATTTGAAATTTTTGAAAGAAAAAACGAGGACGAAAACTGGAACGGACCTATCGTGTGAATGCCTTTTCGTTTACCGGGAGAGCGAGAGCGCAAGCGGGGAGAGAGAGAGGAAGGGGAGGCAGCGGAAAGGTCGGGAGAAAACAGAGAGAGGCAAAAGAAAACGGGTTTCTTGGGAACACGCATGGCGGTTTTAAATAGGCATTTGGGAAGAGGAGGGAATGGGAGGGATGATAAATGGGAATCGGATTCGAGGGGAATAACCTGGGAGATTCCGATGCCAATGGGATTAGGAAAAGGAATCGGAGCAAGGAACATCTAATTTGGGTGGGAGTTGGGTGTGTTATTCCTCCGCATTGGGAAAGGGAGAGGGAATTAAATTCCTTGGTGGGGACGAAGGTGGTGAGAGGAGGAGGGAGGGTGGGTTGTTGTTTCCGTTTCTGGAAACGGGAAACTTTGGTGGTGGAGGTGGTGGTGGTGGGAGAGTGGTGGGAAATTGTTCATGGGAGATTGAGATGCCGTGCCACGTAGAGTGTGCAGAGGCTGAGATAATATTTACTTTTCCATTTTTAACCTTCATTGGGTTTTTAATCTTTTTTAATTCTGTTAAAATACGGCATAGCCGCACATGTTCTTCATGGTGAAAGATTTTTGTTTTACTTTTTGTTAAAAAATTATGACGACAATGATGATGGTGATGATGATAAAAATAAATTGTAACGAAGATTTCTTAACTAAAAATTCATTATTATTAGTCCATCAATTCATTTATGGTTATTTTCGTCAATTCCGTTAGAATTTTCGTCAAAATGAGTCACGTGTCATGTACGTGAGGCTAAATCAAATGACAATATGGAAAATCAAATAAGAAAAATTGTATTAATGATCCTTTAACTTTTTTTCAGCTGGAGGAATGGTTCTTCAACTTTAACTCAATTAGAGCAATGATCCCTCAACTTTAACCTAATTGTAGCAATGGTCATTCCAACATAACTCATTTTAACAGAATTTTGATGGACTTGACGAAAATGACTATAGTTACATGTTTTGATGAGTTGAGAGACCAATGACAATGAATTTTTAGTTGAGAGATCATTGCTCTAATTTGATTAAAGTTGAGGGACCATCGCTGCAATTTACTTTAATATAAAACTAAACTAATAACAACTTTTTTTTTTTAATATAGAATATTTTAACTTAAAAACATATTTTAAAGTGTGAAATTAAGCTATTATTTTGAGGTATATGTAGTAGTGTAAAAAGATTAGGGTGTGAGAAGTACATTTTGTTCATAATTGGTTAGATGTGATTTTAAAATAACTGAAAACATTTTTAGAAATAATATTTTTGAGTCTCAATGTACTTTGAGTGCTTATTCGAATAAGCACATAACTGGTGATTCTTGCATTAAGCACTTTAAGTGCTTTGGAAACCCAAAAATATATTTTTCAAAAGTGCTTTGAAAGAAGCACATAACTGTTGCTTCTAGTACTTTTTCAGGATTTGCTTGCATTTCTATGAAGAATTGGTTTAAAAATTATTTTGACAAAAAAACGGTTTTAGTCATTTTAAAAGCACTTTCTAAACAAGCCTTATAAACACTATTAAGCTTTTATGTTAAATGTTGTCAAAATCGCTTTTAAATATGAATGTGTTTTTAATTATTCTTAAACGACGTCCAATCGAGCCTTTTGGTGAGGAACTTTCAAGTGTCACGTGATTGATGCTAGAATAGTAAAGAATGAGTCACAATATACTAGATAAAAGAGCTTAGATAAGAGGGGAAGAGGATCCTCTCCTGAGCTCAAGACGAGGAACCTCTGACCAACCTATCTGAGCTGTTCAAATTTAATCTAACGGCTCCAAACAGGGTGATTCTCTAAAAATTATAATAATTGCAACCGTTTGATTAAGTTTGAACGGCCCAGATAGGCTGGTCAGGAGGATTCCCATCTTGAGTTCAAGAGATGATCATCTTCCGATAAGAGGGATTTGATTTGCAAAAGACTCCTTACAAGCAATGTTCTAAAAAAATTGTATAGGCACCCACTTAAGGGCTAGGCGACGGCCACCTACCGCAATTAAGCTAGATTTGACAGAAAAATCGACAAATGGGTTTCTAATTTTAATGTTTAGGTTTTTAGGTAGAGCTAAAATGGGTAAAGGGCTGAAATTTTAAATTTTAGGTTTTTGGGAAAGGCTAGAATGGCACAAACCAAATGATACCCAATCAAATATTTGTAAATTGTAACCAAATGTTCTACATTCCAAAACATAAATTACACATTAACTTTTTTGCCAAAGATGACATACTTGTTTCCCATAATCTTTTTGTTGCGATGATCCAGCATAGTCAAGTTCATCTTTTATCATAGCTCGTAAATAAAAGGCTAGATAAGATGACAGAGATTACAGATGGTTTGAGTATCGAAGGTCGGAATAGGCGAGAGAAAGGTTGGAATACAAGAAATTAAGACAATAACAACCAAAGATGTTTATAAAACAAGTGTTATAACATATGGAATAATATTTGCATTCTTCTTTGGGGGATAATCGAAACTGTATCTTCACTTTAGAAATTTCATAATAAAAAATGTTCAATCTTATGAAAACCATCATCACAAAAATCATTTAAATCAGATATCGTTTAGATATCCAAAAATATTAAATAAATAAATTGTTTAACATGAATATGTTACTTAATATCTACACTGTTGATAAATGTTATATAAGATGAGATGTTATTTGCATTTCAAAAGTCATTATGCATTCGTCAAAGTGCTATTTTTCTCTATTATGATGTGGTGGTTGATGTTTAAATTCTTTATTTAAATCATTAGAAATGAAATTCAATTATCAACTGTCACATGATTTGTTTAATATGATCTAAAAAGATAGTCTACCTATCATTACTCTGATTTAATAATACATAATCTTTTTTTTTAGAACAATACATAATCTTGTAACTGTTAATCATTAAGGTTTATATTTAAATATTAATGGCTGATAATTGTTGAATAGAGTGAAGAATTACTATTTTTTTTATCACTTGAAAAGAAAAGGATAGATAAGAAATTACTTACAAAAATAAAAGTTACTCGACGCTAAAAAGAAGTTTGATGTCAGCATAATTGAAAGTGTCCGGTGGGCGTTGGCACCACTTGACCGAGGAAGAGGAGTATGGATCTTTGTTGGATCATTTTTGTGAAGATTCTAGAGATTTTCGTTTCACTATGTATGATGAACGGATATAATTTATAAATTTTCATAATCCTCACAAAAATATTCCGAAAAATATCCGGTTGGGAGGAAGAGGGCGCACGGGACAAATAATAAACATGCGGAGAGGAGTCACAATCCACTAATGACGACGAAAACCATTTAACCAGAGAAACGTGCACTCCAAAAACAAACAAAAAATTCAACGCCCACTGTACCAAAAACTGCGCCAAAGACATTTCACGTGTGTTCATAAAATTAAATTTAATAATGTTTTTATAATTTGATTTATTATTTTGATTTATTAATTATGGGCATGTGGCAGCAGCACCTTTCTAATTCTCATGTATTTATATGACCAATAAATGTACATGAAATTTTCAACTTAAATAATTCATGTTACACGAAAATAAAATACTAATTGAAAAAAAAAAAAAAAAAAAAGATTTCACGTCATGTCAAATCTTTTTTATCTGCAAAACCTAGTATCATCATTGAATATCTAAACCTAGCAAATCCAATTGCATAAAACCGTAATAACTTTACAAATCCAATTTCATTCAATTTTTATAAATAATATTCAAACTCAGTTAGTTACAAAGCACAAGAAAGAGTTGAGATTGTGTGCTTTTGAAAATTGGGATACTCTTCTTCTTGAACGCGTAAACTCTTTTTCATATGAAATTTTTTAACGGTGAAAATTTTGAAACAGGTTCCTCTCTCTTTTTCATACACGAAAAGGAAAAAAACAAAAAAACTCATGAAGAGAGAAAGGGAGTGAACGATCGAAAGAGAGATGGAGAAAGGAAGGGAATGGGCGGGAGATAGGCGGTAGAGGAAGAAGATGGAAGGTTTCACATGAGACCTTTTATTTTTTTACTTTAATCACTGCACAAAATTATTATGTTTCGGTATAACAAAGATTATTTAAATTGATAGCTTAATTTATCATAGATTAATACGAGGATTCATGTAAAAAAAACCTCAGATGAGCAGTTCTAGTAATAACCATATCTTCTTTGAGTTGAGACGCTTATCGACTACTCCTTGTAATAACTAATTTGTTGGTTTCAAGTATTAGATTATGATTGTAAAATGAGAAATATACATTACATGATTTTGTATATATCAGTAAATGACACACTAAGATTAATGAATCGAAGTGATTATAATATTCTTAATAAAAATAAAAAAATTAATACTCAGGTTTTAGTGTATTGGATATCTTGTATAGCTTGTATGAAGAAAATACTTAAATGGTAATAAAATACAATGAAGGTCAACAATTAGAATGATTTTAATACATTTTTTCACCTATTACTACTATAAGCTACACTAATAAGATGAGTGAAAGTTGAACCCGACACGCTTGATGTTGAAGAAAAATTCGTATTCAACAAGGCAATTTACTGGTCACAAATGAATTGGGGTAAATAATGACTATTCTCTAGGACAATTATATATATTTTTAGTAGGTTGGAAACACGACTGGCGCATCAAACATAATAATACAAGTTGTTGAATATTTAAAAATAAAAAATTCAACAACTTATATTATTATACTTGAAATATCAAATCATATTCTGAATACACTGAAAAAATTAATATTCAGGTTTCAGTGTATTGGATTTATTGTATAGCTTTTATGAAGAAAATACTTAAATGGTAATAAAATACAATGCAAGTTAACAATTAGAATGATTTTAATACATGTTTCCCATATTACTACTATAAGCTACACTAACAAGATGAGTGAAAGTTGAACCCGACACGCTTGAGGTTGAAGAAAAATCAGTATTCAACAAGGCAATCTACCAGTCACAAATGAATTGAGGTAAATAATGACTATTTTCTAGGACAACTATATATATTTTTAGTAGGTTGGAAACACAGCTGGTGCATGACACACCCCGACCGAAATCAGGGCATGCTGGCCATCACGAGAGGGTGACGTAACCATGTGCACAGTGCAGAAGTTAAGAATAATAATAAAAGTACGAACAAATAAAAATCAAACTACACACAGAATAGTTAACATACATGTGCAAGCGTAAGTGTGAAAAACAATATTCAGAGCACATAAAACCTTAGTGCAGTCTAGATGAACAAATACTAACTAAACACACCCAAAGGGGGTCCTACACTGGTGATAATCTGTCAGATATGCCGTGAATTCCTTGTGAGCCACCAAAAGAGCAATCGAAACTAGAACCTAGAGGGGCACAAAACAGAAAGTGTGAGTAGACAAAAACAAAGCTTTTCAAAATCATTTCATTAACAAAAGTTTTAACCCATCACCGTAAAACCTGTATAATTTCCTAGAAAATAGAATATACACATATATAGAAAACATGCTCAGAAATATGTCATGTCAAATGCCTCTACATAAAATGTAAGTAACCCAGGTAATGCCAAACAATGCAAATTACATGTTAGCCGAAGTCACCTAACGTGACCTGTACGGCTGAATCTAGAGCTTAAATCCCCAACTTACTAACTATACCTGCACACGAGTCGGAACCACCTAAAGTGGTCTGTACGACAGGACTGGGTGTAAATAAATACGCTCAAGTGCTACGATCACGTGAAGACTGGGCGAATAATCGCAGGTCACCTACGAGTCGGAACCACCTATAGTGGTTTGTACGACAAGACTGTGCACCTAACTTGGATCCAAGATGAGCATGTGGTGCGGGAGATGAACATCACGTGAAGGACTGTGCCCTACTCTCGGCAGAAGCACTAACACGGGGGGTGCAGGTTATAAGCTTTCTACGTATCTCACATAACTACAAATCATCATCATAAACCATAACTTACCTGGCACTTACCTGTGCGTCCGCATAACCAAACATACATATATGCAACTACTAATGCGTAAATAAATAGGCAAACGCAATGCATGGCATGTAAAACATATAAACATTCCATTTCATTTTATGGGAAAAACCACAGTATATAGGTATATACGGAAAACCAAAATTCCACTCACTGGTATATGAAAGGGTCGTAACCCCCTTGTCTCGAGTGATTGCGCTCGTCCTCGAGATAGGTCTTACCTATATGCAAAACAACTATAAAAACGTCAATTTAAAGCACATAACCAAAACTAGGTAATAACTTCTCATACAATGCTCAAATGGGGCGTGTGAATACACCAACGTGATCTACTCAACCTCACGAACATCCCCATATTTTTAAAATAATTTTCTGACCTCTCACGCGCCGACCATGCGTAACCACATGCCAGGCACACTGACGACATCAATTAACGCCGTCAGGAATATTTCGTTAAAACTAACAGATTCCGTTAAAGTTAACCTAAAGCCGTTAAGAATATTCTGTCCAAACTAACAGAATATTCCGTCTTCTTCTCCGGCACACCTCCGGTGCCGTCGCCGGAAAATCGGAAAAACTTCAAACCTTCGTTACTCACTCATTTTTCAACCAAATTCCATGAAATTGGTACCAAGATGAAGCTTACAACAAGTAGAACAAAATCTGACCACTTTAAGGCCCTGAAATTCACGAAATCACGCCGGAGAAAATTCACAAAATCCGGCCAAACCTGCAACTCACAATCCCGACGTCCAAAACCTTCCAACGAACCACCCCAAGCTTCATAAGGACCTTACTAAGCTTCCTACAAGCTTCAAATTCCCTGAAAAACAACATTTCACGTGTGCATGAACAGTAACCATAATCGGGGTTCCATGGTTCAACGTGAAATCGAAGGATTTCCTACCTGAAATGGGTATGGTTGAACTTGTATGATCCTCACGAACACAAAGATATAGTTTTCCACCTCAATCTACAACGTTTTCACGGGTTTTGGTACTTGTCCGTACGAAGAAGAAGAAGAAGAGGAAGAGAAAGAGAGAGACACACACATGGGACAGGGAAAGCATACGGGAATGAGATAGGTATGAGAGTGTGTGTGTGGTCCAGATGCGGCCAACAAGCCCACAAAACAAGCACCCCAAAATGAAACATAACCACTAGGGGCAAAATCATCATTTCACACCTACGGTACGAATAATTCGGAACGAGTTATCACAGTGCATCAAGCATAATAATACAAGTTGTTGAATATTTAAAAATAAAAAATTCAACAACTTATATTATAATACTTGAAATATCAAATCATATTCCGAGTACACTGAAAATATTAATATTCAGGTTTTAGTGTATTGGATTTCTTGTATAGCTTGTATGAAGAAAATACTTAAATGGTAATAAAATACAATGCAAGTCAACAATTAGAATGATTTTAATACATTTTCCCCCTATTACTACTATAAGCTACACTAATAAGATGAGTAAAAGTTGAACCCGACACGCTTGAGGTTGAAGAAAAATCTGTATTCACCAAGGCAATCTACCTACCGGTCACAAATGAATTGAGGTAAATAATGACTATTTTCTCAGACAACTGTATATTTTTTAGTAGGTCGGAAACACAGCTAGTGCACTAAACATAATAATATTAATTGTTGAATATTTGAAAATAGAAAATTCAACCACTTATATTATAATACTTAAAATATCAAATCATATTCCAAGTGTACTGAAAAATTACTTACGGACAATAGTCCGAGCACAACTATACCCAAATGCTCATTGCCAACGTCCATTAAACTAAAAAAACTCCTCTTGAAGTCCATTAAGGGAAATGATTATTTCCAAATCCTTTACACCAAGTTCACGAAAGCATACAATCCAAATCTTTGAAAATTATTATAACTTTTAAAATGAGGTCTTATTTGTAACTATTTGATCAAATACAAAAACGTCCGGATTGTGCGGACTTAGTGGAAAGGATCATTTCCCGTCCATTAACAACACAAGTAAAATCGGACCAATAGTACACCGCCACGTTGGAAATGCAAAATCGCGTCCCACGTGACGAGGAATGCAAAACATCAAGTCGTATATCGATGACCCACCCACACAACCACAACACGTCGTCGCAAAAGAAAAGCAGAAACGCAACAATAATGGCAGTTGCTTCGCGCCGCCTTATCTCTAGCTCGTCCTCATCCACTGTAACCGCCATTTCATCCTTCCCTCCAAAATTAAAAACCCTAATTTCAAATCCGCACGCTTCCCCCAATCTTCAGCTCCCAAAACGCAGTCGTAGAGACGTCGCTTTGCTCTCCCTCATCGCTCTCATCCCTTCGCTCGTCCGACCCGACCCGGCATCCGGACTTTCCTTTGGCATTTGTGAGCTACCTCGCACCATTTTGATTTAGGCCTTCAATTTGTAGTTGTTCGCTGTGGAAACCCTAATTTTTTTCGTATTTGTGCAGCAGGACCAAAGGATTGGCTCCGCGAGCAGAAGAAGAAGGCCTCCAGGTTCCTCCTGGCCCCGATTGATGCCTCCCGAGAGAGCCTCGTCGCGGCTCATCAATTACTCAGTCTCTCTCTCTAGATATATATATATATATATGTATGTATGTATGTATGTATGTATGTATGTATGTATATGTGTGTGTGTGTGTGTGTGTGTGTGTGTGTGTGTGTTGGTGCAATTTCATTTGGATTAATGTGATTTAATTTACAGCGGCTACGAATTCGGATTATACGAACAAGGAGATGGAGGAGGTTCAGAGATTGTTTAGATCTGCTGCGAGGGATTGTGTTGTAGAGGACAGGAACTCGTTTGTTGCATTTCAAGCCAATACGGGTGTTGAGGTTCGGCAATTCGCTCATTTCTCTTTGTTTTTATTTAATCAGGTTAATTAAGCCGCTATTAATCTTAATTAATGCATAGGAATGTGTAAAACTCTATTGCAATTTGGTTGGCATTGGGAGAATTTGTTGTAGGATGATGGAGATGTTGAGCTTTTGGTAATTTACCTCATATTACTAATCTCATTTACTTCACAGGTTTGCACATTCCGTTTGGTTGTAAAGAACGCGTCGTCGTTGCTTGGTGATAAGGATCCCGTAAAATTGGAAGCCGAGTCTTTGCTAAATGATCTTATAAGGTACATTTTAGGTCTGACATAATTTCATGGTAGAGAAATATATTTCTCTATACAATTGTTGTAATATTTACTTGTTATATTGCAGATCATTCACTTCTCTTAATGGTCTGGTAAATGAGACCGATGTTCAATTTTCCACTGAAAGGTAAACATGGACAAGAGAGAATTTTCTTGAAACCTTTAGAAATTTGTTTACTTTCAGTTTTGTCGCACCCTTGATCCTGAGAAAGAATTTTTTGATTGCCCTGTTTCGCATAATAGGCACCAAGTTACATACATTTTTCCATCTGACTTTTTTCTGTTGGCTGCAGAAAGAAGGTTGCAGATTCTCTCATGGATACCATATCATCCCTAGACAAATTTGAGCAGGGAATCAAGGACTGCCTTGAAGCTTAACCAATCTGTAGTTTTTTCCTTGCAGCAAAAGCTATCTAGTGGATATCATGCTTGAAATTCTGTAGATGCATGTATATTGTGGGTTTGAAACCTCTCCTTCTTTTCTTGTCTTTCCTGTGTCTTGATTTCTGTCCTCTGTCATGCTCTTCAACCTTATTTTGTCCATTTTTCTCCTCTAAGTTGTATGTTTATAAATGGCAAAGTTATTGAAGTCGATGCTAGTTTTTTCTTAATGTCTTCATATTGCCTTCTTAATTTCTCAGCGTGGCAATATCATTGCGTTCTTTGTTACTGGAAAGGCATCCAGGTAGGTCTGTTCTTGGTTTTGGAAAGATAAGGATCTGAAATATACTCACACACGCACATATATATTTATATATACTAGGTGGATGACTTGAAGCGAAGCAAAATGCACACTTCTAAATGCAGAGAATGCAGTTCACGACTCTACAAGCTATACTGTTTGATTTTTTTTTTCTTTTCTTTTTCCTTAATTTGCATACCCATTGTCAGTGGGTGTTGTTGATAATTTGCTCAACATGATTGAACAACTGCATATGTAAGTATTGGCTTGCTTGGAAAATTTCAGACATCTCAAATTCGTTTGAGTTTCTCCTTCCAATGGAATATATTTTTCTTCACAGAGCTACAAATATGAATGCCTACTCCTATGCTGCCTTAAATTTTGAGTTTGACACTTTGTGGTATCAGATATAATGACCTGTTGGTCCATGTGGAGTGGTCTAATAGTTTGATTCAGGTGGCTACACCAAGCGGTAGCGAAGTTTTGTACACAGCTGCGCAGCTAATTGAAGATATTTAGTAAAAATCTGCCGGCTATCTATGGAATAGTTTGATTTGGTGAGCCAGAAGCCTCAACCAAATACAAGCGACAACATGGTGTTCCATCATCTGGGTGGGTATATAATGACCTAGGCAAACTGCGGAGCTTGTTGAACAGATTTAATGGATCGTGCATGAGTCCAAAATGAGCATCTGGATCACCAATTTGTGAAAGTTTAACATGAGAAAAGCCGAGAGATGGCAGGAGATGATCAGGCCAATCGCTGTAGAAATGGAAGGTGGAATTGGAAAGTGTGGTTGAAGGTTTGTTCATAAAATCTGCCAGAAGCACCGTGTGAGTAATTGAGCACTTGTCTGCTATGGTTTCAAGCACTTGCGTGGCCTCAGAGTGGGTTAAGTAGTAGAGGATGCCTTCCAGAACCCACACCGTGTTCTTCTCCGGCACAAACCCGGATGTTTGAAGTTTTTCGAGCCAATTATTGCTTCTGATATCAGCCGCCACTCTGGTTATGGATTTTGCTGCCATCATTAGACACTGGTGATTGTTTGTAGAGTCCATCGCTGCTTTCAGGAGAGTGGCTTTTATTTGCAGGACATCAGGAAAATCAACTTCGAACACATTGCTTTCCTTCAAGCAACTCAGGCGGTAAGCTCTTGCATCCATTCCTACAAAAAGAAGTGCAATTTTCATTACAAGCTAAATATTTACTTTCCGTACAGATGAAAGTTGAGAGATTTCAGTTTCCATATATATTCTATCTACAATTTTATATAAACTACGATTAGTATATTTGGACGGGACCTGGTCTAAAAGTTTGCTCTGGTTTCCTAAAGTTAGCAGCACATGCATATACATGGCCAATAATTCCTGATCTGTAGTTTACATTGGTGCATAATCAGATGCTGCATGTTGGGGATCAATTTTCCTAAAAAGCGTTCGTTTTTTGACGGGAGCTGTATTTCACCGTACAGGAAGTAGATTCCGGTAAAGCAATGTAAATGAACAAGTCATCTAGTCTCGAAAACTACGTTATACACAAATATGTCCCAACATCATTCATCACAGGCACGAAGTTCACCTTGATATACGCTGCATTGGTTCAAAAAGTGCTGGTAACCAAAATATTGTGAGAGTAGTTACCAACCTGCCCCAAGAAAAACTACTTGTGCTTCTGCATCGTTGAACGAATGAAGTGCTGCTTCAAGCTTTGAATCAAACCAGAGCGTTCGAACTGCAAGAATTACACCAGAGATTTCTCGCGCCTTGTTGACGCAGTCTTTCTTTATCTTCTCATGGAAACTTTTAAGGTACGACTCTCCTGCAAGTATGTCTGCCAGGGGGTCATGAATGACATGATTCCACAAGGCTCTCCCAGCTGCCGTCTGGCAACCCGACCGCTGAAGAGGATCCCATTCGTTCTCAATAGTTGCATGAACCTGTCGAACGGTATCTGTGGACAACAAGTCCGGAAGCTTGAACTCTGGCCACATGGGGAACTCAGGTGAGCCATTGTCTTGACTCGACATGGTCTTTAAATTGCATGGAAACGCCTTTAAAGTGGACGGAAGTTTGGAAACTAATAGAAAGGAATGAAGAACATATGACATATGCTGTATGTAAGCAGAAGGTAGAGGTGGGATTCAAAAGGTTAGGCTGCAGTAGGTGATAGAGGGATAAGAAAAGAGAGCCACACAACACAAACCCAAAAGGGTTGGAGAAAATGGCTTATAACTCGCGTCGCGCCTTTTTTTTTTTGGCCTTTATAAAAAAAGGAAGGTTGCAATGCCGTCCAAGACTACCACAAGTTTATGAGCCTGCTGTTTTTGGTCTCTACAGGCATTGTGTTATTATCTGGTGCGAGTGGCTCCCAGGAAGTGATATCCGACGGTGGCACCCTGGCTCCTAATAAGGGAAGTCCAATGCGGTCCGGTGGTTTTATAACAAGTACTCATTTGTTTGGTTTTGGTTGTGCACACGACAAAGGCGTCATTTCGTGGTTCGTGTTTGCTTGCGTTGCACAAAGGCAAAGGAAGGCAATTGGCGTTAGGTCCCTAATTGAGTGGCTCTCTGTTTGCAGTTGTATCGAAGTGATTCATCTTCTATCCTTCACGAAAAGACTGACTTGTATCCGTGATGCCACCACGGAGTCTTGAGACAATACGGATAACTTTTGGACGTGACATTGTATTATTAGTTGAGAACGTGATGCTAGCATCCTAGGGGTGGAGGAAAGTCCCTCCTCTCAAGGTGACGCTAACCCCAAGTCAATGAAGCACTGTTGCACGTTTTATCTGCCGTGGTGGTTTCTTTTGTTGGTTGGTGCATGAGAACAGTGATGGGCCCAGACATACACAACTGGCATGGGCGCAGACATATACAACTGGCATGGGCCCAGACATGCACAACTGGCATCTTCAGACAGAGCCCATATTTGACAAGGATTCAGCTTAACCACGTGCGATCATAAACCAATATTTTCCTGAAGAAGGATCATGTCCTGATCCTTTTCACCTAATTCTCTTCATCAAACAATTCGGGTTTTTAAAATTTGATCAAACGATTAAAGTTATTATAACTTTTACAGTGGGTCTGTGTTTTTAGCCGTTAGATTAAATTTTAAAGATCCAGATTGTTTGATGAGAAGGATTAGGTGGAAAGGATCTGGAGAGGATCCCTTCCCTATTTTCCTAGGTGAAAAGTTATGCCCGTTTCTTAAGATGAGTTGACTTTTCTATAGGAATTTGGAGACAATTTTTTTATTTATAATTTAGTTGATTGTTTGGCTTATTAATTGAACTGCCCTGAAAATTGTTATTATGTTTCAATTTACCCCCTGAAACGGGATTTGGGGCTTAAAGTCTTGATTCTTTCAAGAGGTAAACGAAGACTTAAAGACAATCTCAGATGGCAATTCAATTAATAAGCCTTTGATTGTTTTGATTATTTTTGTGTGTACAATATGATGTTTTAAACTACCTGGATTACGAGAAGCCGATTCAAACTTGGATGTAAGGAACTAGCACACTGCCATGACTAATTGTCATAGCTCATGTCAAATGGTTATGAGAATCAGATTAAAACTCAAGTGTAAGAGGATGCTCACACATCACATTGATCAAATGACATAAATTATTTGTTTAGTATGAGAAGTATGATTAACTGGCTTAATTTACGTATGCTGATTATTTGTTTCTTTGTATGAGGTGTGAATGTCGTCCTCCAAATACAAGTCGCTTTGTGGCTCACTTTTGTCTTTTATATTACCACCACGAGTGAAAGGTCCACACCCAGCGAAAAGCATATGCGAATAAACATTGTGAAGAATTAGAGATGGCCGGAAAAAGGAGAGAGTCGTGGCATAGAGAGGACCGTCGCTGCTGTAGCCAAACAAGTGGTGGCGGTGCCGCCAATATTAATTAATGAAATATTATCCGTAAATATACCTAACTAGATACCCCGAATCAGCGGCTGACGTGTTTATTCTTGTTCCGGAAATCAACCCATTATCGTCGATCTGCATGCAAACGCAAGCGTATCGGGTAAAATCTGACTTTTCAGAGCATGTGGTGGACCAAACACAATACAAACATGATTTTTTTAATAAGAACGTCTCACTGTCTGTCATGTGTGTTTAATAATTATATTACGTGTTTGTCCACTTGCATTATAATCGTGAATAAAGGAATTGGATTCTCTCCGAGGCAAAGCTTCGAGATCCTTCTGATCGAATAACACGGATCGTTAGATTTTGATCCAACGGTTATAATTATTATAACTTTTAGAGACTCCTTGTTTATAATCGTTGAATCAAAATCTAACGGTCCATGTTGTCCGATCAGAGGATCCCAAGACATTGTCTTGAAGAGGATTCAATTCCGTGAATAAAGCGGTTGATATTACACTTGTAACACGTGTTTAAGCTTGTTATTTGAACATTGTAAAAATAGAATGTTTAAATTATCGTATCACATTACAAAATAAAAAAGAAATGGAGATGCTCAAAGAGAAAACTGCATAAAGAGAAAAGTAAGGAGATGTTCTTAAAGTATGACCCTTTATGAATTCTTTACCACACCACAATTTACATTAATTTTCGTACCATCATTATTAAAGATTGCTAAAAATATGAGGTGACAAAGAATCTTAAAACAATCTTATTGTTGAGAGAGTTTCCTTTGCATTTCTCTTGCGGAAAATACCAGATAGATTACCAAACGAATTGAAACACACCACATGTAGCATTAGCGCCACACTCAAAAAATTATAATTATTATGGTAAAGTGCTGATTTAGTCACTGAATCATCACTTTAGTGAAAATTAGATCCCTAAATTATTTTTTCAGTAAAATAAGTCTCTAAAAATTCATTAAAAATTGCTAATTTCCTCATTGCTATTATATATTCAAAGCTATTTTATCCAATTTTTCGTTAGTTTAAATTACTTGACACACTTTAGAGTGTAATACCGTCATTTTTTCGTGTATAAGCCTTTAACATTTCATATAGGTTGTGAATCTAACGTTTAAATTAACCTCTAAAGTTAACTTACATATTTTCTTACAAAAAATTATCAATTTATCCTCAAAGTTAACACGGCGGGCATTTGCTAGACTTGTGTTGCTAAAAGCAAGTGTTTTAATGCAAGAAAGTAAATAAATATGGACATGACTTCTCTGCCCTCCCAGTTCCATACACTTCTATTCCCTCTTATTTTGTGCGATCACGGTTAAGGCTACGTCAACATTTTATATTGATTTTTTTATAGAGATAATAAGACAAAAAATAATAGTAATATAAAATATTGACGTGGCTTATACGTGATTGCACAAAATAAGAGAGGATAAAAATGTATGAAGCTGAGAGGCAGAGAAGCCGGGTCCAATAAATATTACCAATTCCGGTAAAATGGGTGTGATAAAATCGAGGGAACTGAGCCGGCAAAAAGCGATCCAGTACACCCAAAGTAAAAGGTCCGAGAAAGACAAACCCACGCGCACGCGCACGGCTACAAATTTTGGTCTCCACTCTCCAGGAACTGAGCCAGCGAGCGACGGAGATGGCTGCGAAGGTGCCCTGCTGCGGGACGACGTTCTTTATTTACGTGCTGATAATCATAGGCCTGGTTTGCTTCGCCGGATTGATGGCCGGACTCACTCTCGGCCTCATGTCCCTCGGCCTCGTCGACCTCGAGGTCCTCATGAAGTCCGGCCAACCTCAGGATCGCAAGCACGCCGGTCAGCTTTTTTCCTTCTTAAATTCATCTTCTTTTTTTATTTTTTAATTTTTTTATTTTTTTGCATTTTTGAAATTTGGAACTCAGCAGTTTCAAATTTCGAATTTAATTACTTTGGGGCTTCTGTGATCCTATGGATTCTGAGCTCTAAGAACTGTTTTTGGATTGAAACTTTTTCAAATTTCGCTTTTGGAAACGGGTTTTGGATTGGAAATTATGAAATTGTTCTGTGAGATGCTGGACAGTAAGCTAAATTACTAGATGACTCAGTTGATTGCAGTCCAAGTCAAAGGAATAGTTGAATTTTACAGAAGAAGTAGATTTTCTTGTGTTTAAATGCTTTAAACTGCTCCGATTTTGGCAGCTAAAATCTATCCGGTGGTGAAGAATCAGCACCTGTTACTTTGCACGCTTTTAATCGGAAACGCGTTAGCAATGGAGGTAATTGTGTGATTTTGTGGCTTTATCGCAATTCATTAAAACGAAAACTAACAAAAAGTCCAAATATTTTTTAGTTTTAAAGAAAAAAACAAATAAATGTGTTGTGAATAGTATCAGGAAAACAAAAGGTAAAATGTGGTTTTTTTTTGTTGAAAGTGAACCGTACCGGAAGTGTTCGTTAAAACTCGTAGTGCTTTCTTACAAATTGGTGATGTTTCTTTTGTTATTAGGCTCTTCCGGTTTTTTTGGATAGTCTTGTGCCTCCTTGGGCGGCTATTGTGATATCAGTCACTCTCATTCTGGTGTTTGGGGAGGTGGGTTGTTTTCGCAAGAGCATTTTACGTTGAATGACTAATTTAACATACAAAAGACGTTCACTTTTGTTTCTTTGTATGCATTACTGCTCCAGATATTGCCACAAGCAGTGTGCACTCGCTTTGGATTGACTGTTGGGGCGGCAATGGCCCCGTTTGTGCGTGTTCTTCTTGTTCTTTTCCTCCCCATTTCGTATCCCATTAGTAAGGTGATGTTAATACTTGAACTGAACTTCCATAATGATTACAATGACTTTAGATGTTTGTAAGTTGTGTGATGCTTCTTGACTATTTGACTTAGCTGCATATATTCGGTCATTTATTGCATTTTCTTTCCTATTTTCATTTTATTTGTTCTAAATATGTTCTCTCCGCAGGTTTTGGATTATATGTTGGGTAAGGGACATTCTGCCCTTTTACGAAGAGCAGAGCTAAAGACTTTTGTGGATTTTCACGGAAATGAGGTATATAATATTTTACTAATCTCACATTAGGGCACTATGCTAGTAGCTAGTGGCATCTGTTAGGAACTTTCAACTCTCTGGAAAGTCCTCTGGTTTCCTGTGTTCTGTGATTAAATATGGCATATGCAAATTGTCTGTTACTTAGGCTGGGAAAGGCGGGGATTTAACACATGATGAGACTACCATCATTGCTGGAGCACTTGAAATGACTGAAAAGACTGCAAAAGATGCCATGACTCCCATATCAAATGCATTTTCCCTTGATCTGGATGCACCTCTTACTTTGTGGGTTTGCAGACTGCAGTTTGTTCTCTCTATCATATCTTATGCATTCTTCCATCCTTTTAAACCTGCCACTCTATTCTCTCTCCAGGGACACATTGAATGCAATAATGGCAATGGGTCATAGTAGAGTTCCAGTTTATGCTGGGAAGCCCGGAAATATAATTGGTCTAGTTCTGGTAATTCCATTTTTGCTTTCTTTATACACTTTTTTCAAAGTTGAAGTGATGCTGCGTGTCCGACCAAAAAATGAAGAGCGATGCTGTCTGAAAACTTATCAGTTCAATCTCGTATAAGTGCAGGTTAAGAATCTCTTGATGGTTGATCCAGAAGATGGAGTTACTTTAAGAAAACTGATGATACGAAAAATTCCTCGGTATGGTAGTACCTCATTATATTTTGGTTTTTATTACCGATACAAGGCATGAGCTAATGTAATTTTGAGAATTTTCACTCCTGAGATGGTTCATTTCACTGTCTATGTATTCTTCTTTTATTGGGCTTGAGCATGGTTATTCTAGACTGGCCTTTTATTTGCCCCACAGGGTTTCGGAAGACATGCCTCTGTATGATATACTAAATGAATTTCAGAAAGGTCACAGTCACATTGCTGTCGTCTATAAGGATATAAGTGGGAAAAAGGATGCACTAAAGAATGGCAAGGATGGTGAAACACCCGTGTTTAAGGATGACTGTAAGAAGCAAGCAGGCGAATCTGGGGCGTCATTCAAGAAAGGTATGTATATTCGTAGCAGCTACAAAAGTATGTTGCCGTTTTGGCTTACTTTCATTTTGAGGTTCAAAATTCAAATCTCAGTTTACGTATTTGATCGTTTCATGACATTTCTTTTTGTACACATAATGTAATGTTACGTTTGAGTATGTTAATGGATGTAACTTGTTCTGTGTGTCCTGTATGATTGATGATTAACTGAGCTTTTGGCTACATGATTTCTCAATGTGTGGGCTTTTCCTGAGTTCTTCAACCACTGCCACTTTTTTCGTATGTCTTTCTTTTGAACTACATAATTTGTGTTCTTGTTAAATTGCAGATGAAAAAGTGGGTTCAAACAATGCTCAGAGTGCCTTGGACAATGGTGACGGAGGTCAACAAGCGAAGAAAAGCCCATCAGCTACACCCGCTTTTAAGAAACGACACAGAGGCTGTTCACATTGCATTCTGGACGTTGAGAATGGTCCCATTCCAGTTTTCCCAGACAATGAAGAGGTTGTAGGAGTAATTACCATGGAGGATGTCATTGAAGAACTTCTTCAGGTAATGATCATGTATTATACAAATAAGTAATTGAATCTGCTTCTGCATTTTCTTACGAAACTTGCAGTATTATCTGGATACTAGATTTTTGTAAATATTAATTGCCGCACGTATTGATCCAAATGGTAAATCTCTGCTTATGCCAGGAAGAGATATTGGACGAAACAGATGAGTATGTCAATATCCACAACAGGTAAGATTTGAGTGATTTCCACCTACACATATTAGCACGACGCCTTTTCCTCTTAAATCATCGGTGCCATGCTGTAGTATGGGTTCGTCTTGAGAGCAGGACAACCAGAATTGCTGAAACATGTACTTTGGACCGAAAGATGGTAATATTTTGTGGATATGCAGGATTAAGGTCAATATGCATGCATCTCAGGACAAGCCTTCTGACTCGAACTCAGCCGATCCTTCCAGAGAGTGGTCATCTGTCACTGACGCCCCACTGCTAACATCAGCGTCAGTGCCATCAGATTTGGGTTCTACTCAACATCAAGACGATGGTAAGGTGTGATGCCAACGGACTCACACACCGCAGCTCATCAAGGTTCTGAACATGACACGTCAAGAGATCGGTGAGTTTGGTCGTATGTTCTTGGTATGAATGAAATTTAGATGCACAAAATCGATATTTAAGTTAAAAACTTACCTAAAATTAACCTACATGTTTGATGAAAATGCACTACTAAGACAACTCTCTTTTGAGAATGTAAAGTCCATTACTACATGAAGTGTTGCCGAAAAGGATATTAATGAAAGGTGTGGAACCATTTTTTGATTGTGTGTGTGTTTGGTAAGCACTCTTTCCCGGGTTCGTAACGTCAAGTTTTGGCCAAAAACTCCCAACACTTTGCATCGAGTTATCAATCAGTAGTCAATTTTCTGACGTGAGATTCTTGTATTCTTCAACAATTAAGACCTAAAGTTGAATAGCGAAAACCATGCCTTGTATTTTTGGTGAAACTAAAACTAACATGATCAATTGGCAACTGTATTTTACATTTCTAAAGAAAAGATACGGAAACGCATATATAATCACTTCACGTGTTTATAATCTAAACTACCTATTATCAAAACTTTATTTGTCAACTAGAAGTGAGTGAAAGATCACATTAATCTTGTCAACAAAAAAAATAATAATCAAAATAAAAGTTTTAGTCAATGTAGTAAATTAAACGCAAAATAATTTTACTGCGTTTTTTTTTTTTCTAAGCCTCATATGCAAGTAACCATATCAGTCCCTCATTTTCTCTTTCACAATGCTCTTAGTGACGAAATAAATATTCAGATATGAACAATCTCTTCGATGATGAAAATTGTTTAAAGATCGTTATCAAAAAGTTTTAATGACTATTTTATATTATTGTACTTTTTTTTTTTACCAAACGATTGATTCTGTTATATTAGATGTTAAATTAACTGCCATCGAAGTTTGAACCCACGTCGTGAAATAATGGATACCATAATGCATGACCGTATTCAAATATGAGACGGCAAGTCTTCTTAGTGCATGTGTTGGTTAGCTATTGTGTGCAGTACGCATCCATGGCGTGCCCGGAGGACATAAACCCGAAACTTTCTCATGACGGTCCTTTTTTCATCAATGGCGGTCGCCGCAAAGTGCAGATAAAATCCAACCTTCCTTCTTCCACGTGAGTTCCAGCCTCTGAGGTGACTGACACGACCACCTTATCAGCAACGCCCCGACACGACAACATAACTACCTCAATCCTACATAAATCCATCATTTTTCAATGTATTTTTCTGAAGTTACTACGAACTGGTTTGGTATTGATGTGCTTTGAAAAAAAGCTGCTTCTGTTGTGTGTGAGAATAAGCAGATGTGAAATAAAGCAGAGTGTTCGGTAAACTTTTTTGTAAAAGTGCTTTTGAAAAAAAAAAAAAAAAAAACAGTATTATAGTGTTTGGTAAGTTTTTATGTAAAACATATGTGAAAAAAGCCGGTTTTTCAAAGCTGGGTTTTGCAGCTTCTTGTTTTTGGCTTTTTTTCACCCAAAACTGTGAAAAAAAGCTGAAGCTGAATGTTTACCAAACATAAAAACAGCTCCCAGCTTTTTTTGATACCAGCTTTTTTCAGAATCACCTTAGTACCAAACCAGGCCTACCTCTGCTCATGTCCCTAGCTGATCAAACTTTTTTTTTTAATATTAATTATCTGAAAAACCTGCTCCTAATGTAAATCAGGTCGGTGCGACTTAGGCCATCTCCAACCGAGGGCTGGGCAAAGGAGCCCTCTGGCCCTCCAAGATTCTCCAAGATATTAATATTTTAATGAACAGTACATGGCCATATTTGCCTCTGTATCCAACCGAGGGTGAGAGGGCTCGTTTTAGCACTGCCACAAAAAATCGTCTCCAACCAGAGGGCCAGAGGGCTCGTTGGTTAATGTTATTTAATGTTATTTCATATTGTTTAATGTTGTTTCATGTTACTTAATTTAATTTAATGTTGTATAATGGCTTATGAAGTTATAGGAAGAAAATATAATTTAAAAAAAATATGAAACAAATTTTGTGAAATAGAAGTTATAGGATAAAAATAGAATTTAAAATAAAATAAAACAACTATGTGAAATAGAAGTTATAGGAAAAAATGAAATTTAAAAAAAAAAAGAAACAAATTTTGTAAAATAAAAGTTATAGGAAAAAGTAGAATTTAAAAAAAAAATTAAAAATAGAAGTTATAGGAAAATTTTTGTAAATAAAAAAAATAATAAAACTATAAAAAAAAGAAAAATTCAAATGCAACGGCTAGCTGACGTTAGTTAGCCGTTGCATTTGAATTTTTTTCTTAAGCATTACATTTATATTAAATAATATAAATGTATTTTTATTGGTTATAATCGACAAGAAAACTGAATTTTCTGGCCAGCTCTCTAGCCCTCTCTGATTCCGTGGAGCCCTCTCTGATTCTAGAGCCCTCTGACCTATCCTTCGGTCCCTCAGTTGAAGACGGTTTTTGAGTCATTTTCGACCCTCTGAACCCCTCGGTTGGAGAGGGGCTTAACGTACCCAGTTGAAGTTCGTCTTATAATTTCCCAGCTCATCGGAAAAAAAAAAAAAAAAAAAAATCAAACTTTCCTCTCGATTTTTCATGATCTTGGTTAATTCTTTGAAAGGTGATTACTTTTCGTCATCCTTCGATCCAGACGGTGATTTTCCCATTTGGGTACTCGCAGTTTCGTCTCGATTTTTCATGATCTCCCGCTCCAGATTTGTTGAAGATTTGCTTTTTAGTAAAATCCGACTTCTATCTTTCAATTTCGATATTTTATCCAGTTTTGGCGCGGTTTTGCATTGGGGGTCTCCAGATTTGTAGTTGCTTTAGCTTACTTTCTTCGAAGTCCATCTGTCGGGGAGGCGTTTTTTAGAGAGAGAGAGAGAGAGAGAGAGAGAGAGAGAGAGAGAGAGAGAGATGGCAGTGGCAGTGGCTCGGTTAGCTCGGTTGGGCCGCAAAGCAAAACTGCCAGGTGGGTTCTGTATAAAAATGGCAGCAGCGGCAATCTTGGGCCTCTGCTTTATATTCGCCTGGTCGATGTTTTCTTCTTCTTCCTCCTCCGTCACCACCCGAATCGAAAGCTTTGACAACATTGTGGCGCCGCCTGGATCACGGAGCACCCGGGCGAGCACTCCCGATGGGACCCAACTAGCAGCTAGTAATGGTGGGGAGGAGAAAAGGGCTACTGGGTCTGCTGTGAGGTCACATGACCATGAGCATAAATCCAAGAAGAAGAAGAAAGAAGCGGTAAATGGGAAGAAGGGGAAGGGTAAGAAAAAATTACCTGAGAGTGTGACGAAGGTTAAAAATGTGACTGAGGAATCCGAGAGCGAAGATTCGGAGAACGAAAAGGAAGATGGAGATGAAGAAAAGGAGGTAGTGGATGGAAAGGAAGAAGCTTTGAGTGATGAAGGTGAAGGTAATGGGGAAGCAGGAGGAGAGGGGGATAATTTGATGGAGACGGCGGATCAGGAATCCGAGGAGGTGAAGCTGGACGATGACGGTGGTGAATCCGAAAAAAAGGGAAAGAAGAGGTATAAGATGAAGGGTCCATTGTTTGATCCAAAAGCACATTATAATTGGAAACAATGTAGCACAAGGAGCAAGCACAATTACATTCCTTGTATTGATATGGAAGTAGTATCTGGAAGGCTGCAGTATAGGCATACGGAGAGGAGTTGCCCGAAGGCGGAACCTATGTGTCTTGTACCTCTTCCTCGTGATGGTTATGGCCCTCCGGTCCCCTGGCCTGAGAGCAAAGAGAAGGTATATATGCCTGGAGTTTCAGTATGTTTTTCTTGCATTCAATTGAAGTACACTGTGAGGAAAAATAATCTTTCTGATGTTTTGTTTTTGTAATTTTCAGTGTTTTGTAGATATTGTACAAGAATGTGGAGCATCCGAAACTTGCTGCATTCGTCAAGGAACATAGTTGGGTGATGGAGTCTGGAGAATATCTGACTTTCCCCCAAAACCAGTCTGAGTTGAAGGGCGGAATTCTTCACTATCTTGAGTCCATTGAAGAGGTGTGACTTTTACTCATTGTCTTAATTGAATATGGGAATCTGTATGATGCCTCCTTAATTCCAACCTGAAATGAATTGATAAAGTTTAGTACATGATTATTTGGGTAGATAGACTGATTTTCTCTTTCGATCATGTGTTTTTAATATATGAAATTAGTGGTAAACCTTTGAAAATCTTATATTACCTGGATAAGGAGTCTAATTGCTTTATGTCGACTGTTCTTTTGCATCCTACTATTGTGAGAGATGCGGAGTTTTGAAACTGATGGCTATTTACAGATGGCAATTAAACTTCGCCATATACATATACTGATGTGCATGTATATGCTAGTTATCTCCTAATAATAAATGCTGTCAGTCTTGCCATAAAAAGAAGTCAAAATTTTTATTTTGTTTGATAGATGGTACCAGACATCGAGTGGGGAAAGAATATCCGTGTAGTGCTGGATATTGGATGTACAGATTCCGCCTTTGGGGCTTCTCTCGTTGATAAGGATGTATTAACATTGGCATTGGGTTTGAAAGATGACCTAGTTGACCTAGCTCAAGTTGCCCTCGAGCGTGGTTTGCCTGCTTTTGTTAGCCCTTTTCGAAATAGAAGACTGCCTTTCCCCAGTAGTGTTTTTGATGCTGTTCACTGTGGCGGTTGCACCACACCTTGGCATTCAAATGGTTTGAGTCAATTTCTTCCCGATCCCACCTTTCATTCGTCATTTTTTCTTCTTGAAGTTTCAAATCCGACTTTAAGTCACACCTTTGTGATATTCTTTCTTCATCAGGGGGTAAGCATCTTCTAGAGATGAATAGGATTTTAAGGCCGGGCGGATACTTTATCTTGTCAACTAAACATGACAGCTTTGAAGATGAAGAAGGTTTGCCCTATGCTGCTAACTCTTAGTGTATCTAAGATTTGTTTGCTTTACGGGATCGTATGATTTTATCCTGAGTTGCTTGTGCTGAATAATTCGATAACATGTGGCATTTTTTTATTCTCTTCCAGCCATGACTAAATTGACCGCGTCTATCTGTTGGAATATTCTGGCTCATAAAACTGATGAAGTCAGTGACGTGGGTGTCAAAATATACCAGAAGCCAGACTCGAATGATATATATGAGTTGAGGAGGAAGAAATATCCACCTTTGTGCAAGGAAAATGAAAACCCAGATGCAGCCTGGTAAGCTTAAATAAACTTGCCTTACAATATTCATCTCTTCGAGGTTTTTAGCATTATTTCTCCATCCATATTCCGTTTGTGGTTTGTTAATTTGTTGAACAGAATCAGTATGTTCATTGTCTGCGCACGGAAGACTACTTTTCAATGATTTTGTTCTTTATTTAGGAACAGTTAGCCTTTGTGTTCCTTAACAGGTATGTTCCTGTGAAGACTTGCTTGCACCCCGTTCCATCTGCCATTGAGCAGCATGGCACGGAGTGGCCAGATCAATGGCCCCAAAGACTCGAGAGGTATCCTGACTGGTTGAGTGATAAAGCTAAGTTGGATGCGGACACCAAGCACTGGAAAGCTATTGTTGATAGATCCTATCTCACAGGACTAGGTATCGACTGGTCAAAAATTCGAAATGTAATGGACATGAAAGCCATCTATGGAGGGTATGTCAAAATTTTGAAAAGAACCTTGCACTTTCTTTTCTATTCAACAGAAACGCGTCGGAAGTTGATTGATAAGTTGAATTGCAATGTTTTTATGCAGATTTGCTGCAGCTCTCACGCAACAAAAGATTTGGGTGATGAATGTGGTCCCTGTCCATGCGCCCGATACACTTCCTTTCATTTTTGAACGCGGCCTTGTTGGAACCTACCACGACTGGTGTGAGTCTTTCGGTATTTATCCCAGATCATATGATCTTTTGCATGCTGATCATCTGTTTTCGCGGCTTAAGAACAGGTGAGTTTCTGTTGCTTGCTGATAAAGTTTCAATTTTTTTGGTATATACATATCATTTACTTCTGGAATGCTACTTTGCAGGTGTAAGCAGCCAGTATCAATCGTTGTTGAGATGGATCGCTTGTTACGGCCTGGAGGGTGGGCAATTATACGCGAGAAAGTTGAGGTACTGGAACCGCTGGAGGGAATATTGAAGAGTATGCATTGGGAGATCCGGATGACTTTTGCTCAGGGAAAGGAGGGTCTCTTATGCGCCCAGAAAACCTTGTGGCGGCCTTAAAATGGTATTGCAGCTTCATACAAGTCCATAACAGCACGAAGACCTGCGGCGAAGCCATGCTTCCTTCGGGTGCTGCAGCCTCCAGTCCATCCAATTTTGAGCGCAATTATAACCGATGTTTTTGATATGCCACTTGAATTTATTGGTGATGCAGTTGATGTAGAGGATGAACTAAGGAAGTGAGGGTGAATGAGAAAGGGATTCGAACCCAGATGCATACGAGGGAGAACATTCGCTCTAGTTGATGTGACTATGTCTGCGTCCGCAAATGTATAAGTTTCTTTCATGAGCGAAGTGCTAAATTGTTGTATACTTGTGTTTGAGTAAATTTTTAGTAACTGTCATTCTGATTCTAGTTCACGTGTTATAATACGAGTGAATTTAAATTGATGCAGTGTTAAGGTTCGTTTGGATGTGCTTTTAAAATGACTGAAAACGTTTTTGGTGAAAATATTTTTGAAACTAATCCTTAGTAAAAATCTAATTAGATCCCGAAAAAGCACGTTAAGTGCTTCCTGCAAGAAGTATATATCTGGTGCTATCAATTTCACCAAAAACACTTTCAATCATTTTAAAAGCACATCCAAACGAGTTGTTGATCATTGAACTCAAATAGTTTGGGCCGACTAAGACTCCAAAATGAATTCAGCCCACCAATACTGCGTACCCAAATTCCAGACGCCGTCTTCTGCCTCCCCTTTCGCTCTTCGCGGCGCTGCTACGAACTCCACTCTTCTTCGCGCCTCCACAACGCTCATGTGATTTTCCGCAAAAGGACAATCTCAGAACTTTAATTTCCCGCCATGTCCCTCTCCTCCACCCCTGCGCGGTTCACCCTCCTCGCCCTCCTCTCCGCCACCACAGTCTACTGCTTCTACAAATCCCGCCGCCTCCGACGCCTCAAGCTCTCCCTAAACCCTAACTCTAGCTCCTCGCCTCGCAGAGGCAAGCTCTTCTTCGTCTCCCAAACCGGCACCTCCGAAGCTCTAGCTCGTCGCCTGCTCGATTTTCTGACGTCGAACGGCGTCGCTTTCGACCTCGTCGACCCCAACAACTACGAGCCCGAGGACCTGCCGAAGGAAACCCTAGTTCTGATCGTCGCTTCGACGTGGGATGACGGGAAGCCGCCTCCGAACGCCAGATTCTTCTCCAATTGGCTCGCCGAGAGCGCGGAGGACTTCAGGGTGGGATCGCTGTTGCTCTCCAATTGCAAATTTGCCGTCTTTGGCGTCGGGAGCCGAGCCTACGGCGCTACGTTCAATGCAGTGGGGAAGGACTTGGCTAGGAGGATGAGGGCGTTGGGCGCTTCTGAGATGTTTCCGATTTGGGAAGGTGACGTGGACGGTGGTGATTTGGACGAGGTGTTTGATGCTTGGAGTGGGAAGGTGGTGAGGTTTCTGAAGGGTGGTGCGGCGGAAAATGGCGGGGTTTTGGGTAATGGGGTTGGCGATGAATGTGAAGCTGAGAGTTTTGATGGGTCGGACGAGGAGGAGGAGGACGACGAGGATGGTGGGGTTGTTGACCTTGAGGATATTGCAGGTAAAGGACCTTCAAGAAGGAATCCAGTGGCGGTGACGAAGACTAATGGGACAGTGAATGGTAAAAAAGAGATGGTCACTCCGGTGATTCGGGCTAGCTTAACGAAGCAGGTAAACTTGTCTGGGCATACTGTGACTGCAAAGATTTCAAGTTGTGTATTTGCTCTTAGGATTGGCGTTCTGATCTTTTGCTTTGATTTTACTCGAGTGAAAATGCAGGGGTATAAAATCATTGGTTCACATAGCGGCGTCAAAATTTGTAGATGGACAAAGTCGCAACTCCGAGGCCGTGGAGGTTGCTACAAGCACTCGTTTTATGGCATAGAAAGTCACAGGTGACCGGAATTTTTATCAATTTGGAGTAGATTTCGTACCGTCCTTTCCCCTATACACGTCTGTGAGACTGTAAATTCATGCATTATGCGCAGATTTTAGCTTGACTGTTGCATATTGGTTTTCATGAAGTGAGAACATAATGCCCAGCTTAGAATTTTCACAATGTATAGGTTTCTTTACTCTATCTGTAATACCTCAGCGCTGTGTAATTAGTGTGAATTGGCAGTCTTATGGCGTATACATCTGAATTTCTATATTTTACATACTTGCGTTTACTTTTAAAGTTGTTTATGTATTTATCATTGCTTTAACTAGCAGCTTAAATTTGACACGTTTTGAATGAAACAGGTGCATGGAGACGACCCCTAGTTTGGCATGTGCCAACAAATGTGTTTTTTGTTGGAGACATCACACAAATCCTGTCGGAAAGAGTTGGCAGTGGAAGATGGATGATCCGTTAGAAATTGTTAACTCTGCCATAGACCAGCACACGAAAATGATTAAACAAATGAAAGGAGTTCCTGGTAAATCCTATGTTTTTTCCTTTGGGGAAGAAATATATCCTTGGATAATGGTATTTTTAGTTGTACAAGACTGCCCGAACCAGTGATGAATTAATTGAAACACCTTTTAAGCAGACATGATTATACTGGGTTCCCAAACTATTTGGTTGTACTATCATCAACTAATCAATAGTTCACAGAAACCAGTTAACTGTGATTCATGTTTGATATCATCAACTAAATCGTAGGAAACTTGATGGTGTATAAATCTACTCAGTATATGAGATATCTTCTCCTGCAGGTGTTACATTGGAGCGATTAACAGAGGGTCTCTCTCCCAGGCATTGCGCCTTATCTCTTGTTGGTGAACCTATCATGTATCCTGAGATTAATGCACTCGTAGATGAGCTGCATCGAAGGCGGATTTCTACTTTTCTAGTCACAAATGCTCAGTTTCCTGAAAAGATCAAAATGCTGAACCCCATTACGCAGGTTTGTTTGCTACTGTTATATCACTGTCAAATTTTACATCATGCTATTATTTAGTTTTAGGAATGATTTTGGACTTCTTTGCGCACAGTTATATGTAAGTGTGGATGCTGCTACTAAAGAAAGTTTGAAGGCAATTGACAGGCCACTTTTTGGGGATTTTTGGGAGCGATTCATTGTAAGCATCTGATCTACTTGATACTTTGAGGGCCCAATTTCTTGTCTTTAATCTACTGAGAGGAAATAATATGAATCAGTACTTCTGGTGTTACTTATGTGTATGCTTGAATTTTTATTGCCAGGATTCCTTGACTTCTCTCAAGGACAAACAGCAACGAACTGTTTATCGCCTTACTCTGGTGAAAGGCTGGAATACAGAAGATATTGATGCTTATTATAACATTTTTAGCCTTGGTAGTCCTGATTTTGTTGAAATCAAGGGAGTTACATACTGTGGAACGTAAGTTTTCTTTTCTTTGGTTCCTAAGTGGTCGGGTCATTTACAGTGCTCTAGTTCTATAACGAGAGTGATCAATTCACAGGTCTGCTACATCAAAGTTGACAATGGAGAATGTGCCCTGGCATGCCGATGTTAAAGCATTTTCAGAGGCCTTAGCTTTGAAAAGTAACGGGGACTATGAAGTTGCATGTGAGCATGTCCACTCTTGTTGTGTCCTCCTGGCTAAAACTAGCAAGTTCAAGATCAACGGCCAGTGGTTCACATGGATTGACTATGAAAAGTTTCACGATCTGGTATATGCGACTCCAATAATTATATACTCCTAGAGTGCCATTCAGGCGATAATATTTATTCACTCATCCATTCTTATTGAAAATGCAGGTGGCTTCTGGAAAACCTTTTGACAGTAAGGATTACATGGCTCCAACACCTTCATGGGCCGTGTATGGGGCAGATGAAGGTGGATTTGATCCATACCAGTCTCGATACAAGAAAGAGCGCCATCACAGACTAATCCAGTGACGACCAGGTTAGGGGTTTGATTAGTGTCGAGTTCTAGGAACAGTTTTGATTGTATTTTATCGTAGTTTTACATACGTGAAACAGTATTTTCACAACATAACTGCAGTCTATAGATTAGAGAGAGAATTACTGTTTGTGTTCCGATACAGTATTATCCTTGTATTTTAGTAATTCTCTGCTTCGTTGTTTTTGGGAAGGTTTTACTCTGCAATGTTTATGTTTAAATAACGTCGTAAATATGAAGCTACTGTTAATTAGGGAGAGAATTACTGTTTATGTTCCGATTCATTCAAATCGATTCAAAAGGTTCTGGCTACTTGATGTCTTTTGTGTCCTTAGCTCTTAGCTCTTAAGATTTACATGAAACGGGGACACTAAGATAGTGGTGTGCCAAACCTGTGAGGCGGCGTGTTTCAACTTCATGCATTATGTCACATGATTGGTTTGGGATACGAGCGCTTTGGCGTTTCAATCAACATCAATTTGAATATAATCCTTCTCACCTTGTATTATAATAGGAATATGATTTTTTTCTCCTCCATATCCGGCTCCATCCCTCCTCCCACTTTCCTGTCTTCTCTTTGTAAAGAAGTCATACAAGATGTTGACGTAATTTAATCGTGATTGTTCAAATAGAAAAAGATTATAGGAAGGGAAATTTGGAGAGGAAATTGTCGTCACTCGCAAATATCGTACGCAGCTTTACACATCAGCCAACCTCATTATTGCATTTTTTTTTTCTCTTAGTTTTTATTTAGTTTTTTGTATTACTGTTAGGCAGAGCAAATTATGTCACTACCCAAAAATGTCCAATCAGTAAATTTTATTTCACGAGCGGAAAATTGTACTATATGTCTAGTCGTTTTAAATTTCTACTGTTCTTTTTGCAAATTTAGGCTCCAGTCTTGTTCGTCCATCCAATAAAATGTTGAATCGTTGGCATTTAAATATGTAAATGAAGTATAAATGATATCAATAATAAAAACGACACATCTTAATCAATAACATGTGAATGTGTTTGTTAATATTCGGTGATCGTACATACCGTGTGATTAAATGATCCAGCGATTTGACTTAAGATTCTTTCATCTAAATCGAGCCTAGAGATATCTTCGGCCTTTGAAAGCATGAGTTTTCTTCATAACTAATAGTCTAATATGTTCTACCTTCATGGATAATATTTGAAAGTTCGTATTTATTCTTCCCCATTCAATAACCTTTTGCACATAATTGTATATTCATGGCGGGTACTTGGGCAGCCACACATTACGTCAGTCATAAAATTGTGGTTGGAACTCATCTTCACAATAATCAAAACTAAGATCTTTGATATACGAGAGAAAATAAATATTATTAGACCACGATATTAAGTGACTGTTTATTCAAAATCTATTGACTAGACCTGATAAATGGGTTGTGTTTGTGTTGTTTTCATGTCATACTCATCATCGTTACAGGTTGCATTGTACCAAATCCGTTATCTTAACGCTTTCTTAACAAGTAACCTGATAATGATCCGATTAATGAATGGGTTATGTATTTTGTGTCATGTCAATGCGTCATGCAAGAAATTGATATGTTTAATGTTTTGATATGACAAACGATATCTTATTAGGTGACTGATGACGACCGACTTGTTAATAAATTCTTAACGTGCAACTCGAAAATGACCTGACTCATTAATGAGTTGACTCGAATTTATTATTTTCGTATCTTTTCGTGCAACTCGATAACGACCCGACTCATCTTCTTTGGGCAATATAATTTGCTTTTCATAAAGTGTCATACAACTCATCGCGCTTCAATCAAACAGTGGCTGTGGATTCTGGAAATCAAACAAACAGTGGGCGGCGTCTGCTGCTGATATATATCGTTGAGGTGAGGTGGGCCGCCACAACCCAACAACTTGACGAGTGGAAGCAGGAACCGTTGGGCCCCACCCAACACAAGTATAAAGCACGTCAAGACGGCTCCAGCCCTGCCAACTCCTAATTCCCTTTCTCTTCCTCATCTTCCTCCGTCATATCTCGAAACTTTTACAAAACCAAATTATAACTCTCTATTTAATGGTACGCATTTGTCAATTTCTCTAAGAACTTGTAACAAGTTGTTAATTTTTCTCTCAATTTTAATTTTAGTCAGTTATGTTCTTGAACTTTTATAATCGGCTAATTTTCTTTCAGAATTTTAATTTTGTCGATTACTCTATTAAACTTTTATAATTGACCATTTTTTTTTTTTTGCGTTAAATTTTGAATTTTTTTAAATTTAATTTTCCATCCATTTTGGATGTGTGCATGACAAAAAGGTAATTTTATCCTGATTAAAAAGTTAATCCGTTTAAGTTACAGTTCAAGGGAAAGTTCGTCGATAATACTAACAATTTTGTACTAATAACAAAACTAATTCGTAAAAAATGAAAATTTGGCAAGTCATTGGATGCAGGGTGCATATTACCAAAAGATAAATAAAAGTTAAAGATTGCTATGGTCCAAGATACAACTACTAAGATTAAGTTGTTAAAAATTTCGGAGTATACGATATTTCAAACTTTTACAAAATTTTAATTTTGTAGAGAATAAAATTTCCTACGAATTATGTAGTTGACATGAGCATGCGCGAATGACCATTAAACCCATGGCCACAACAATTTTTTGACTTTAGACACGAGGCAGGACTAATTAAGCTAGGAGCTGAACCCCTAAGCTGCCACGTCCTACTTATTACAAAAGCACTTATTGGCTTACTGAGGCGGCTAGCCGAACATGTAAAATCAGCTTTCTTCTACTAGCTTTGTGCTTTTGTTTCTTAACTTAGAACGTAAGCGTCACGTGCCAGCTGCAACGACTTAAGAAAATTAGCAATTGCCCTCCTCTCGTCAGTCTCGGAGAGCTGGCAGTCCAGAGCTGCTAACCATGCACAGCCAAAGACGACTTTTTTTGTGTGCTCCGGAGTACCCCTACTTGGAATATCAAACCGTTAATTTTTTGTTAAAATATAACAATAAATATTTAACGATTAAAAAATTTGAGCCTAGAGTATTTCAGAGCACCTAAAAGCTTTTGCAGCCAAAAACCTCCAGATTTTGCAGTCTTCCTCTTCTTTCTAAATTCTGCAGTAAAAAAACCCCACTTTTCTCACTCATTCATTTTTTACCGGAATTAGATCCTCTCCGAGGTAAATCCTTGGATTCTCCTAACTCAATAGCACGGACCGTTGGATTTTGATCTAACGACTATAATTATTATAACTTTAGAAGAGTACTCTGTTTGTAACCGTTGGATCAAAATCCAACAAACCGTGTTAGTGAATTAAGAGGATCCCGAGGGTTTGCCTCGGAGAGGATCCAATTCCTTTTTTACCCACTTCTTTTAATGGCCTTTTTATTTTTGTTTTACTTTGTGTGTGTGTGTTTTACCCTTTTCAACATAATTACATTTGCAGACTTGAGATTAATCAAGTTGACTATGTCAGTTTACTTTCTTTGTACGTTCGAGTTTTTGGGTAAAATAATCACAAATTTGATCTTAATCAAATTGGCTATATTAGTGCACTTTTCTTTTATAACTAGTTTGAATTCTCTTCATAAATTTAATTGAATTAATTTAAAATATCGCTTGTATAAAAAAATAAAAATTTAATGATTAAACAATTCGAGCCTATAGTATTTCAGAGCACCTAAAAAAGCTTTTGCAGCCAAAAACCTCCAGATTTTGCAGTCTTCCTCTTCTTTCCAAATTCTGCAGTAGAACAACCCCACCTTTCTCACTCATTCATTTTTTACCCACTTCTTTTAATGGACTTCTATTTTTATTTATTTCGCGTGCGTTTTATCCTATTCAACATAATTACAATCTCGGACTTGAGATTAATCAAGTTGACTATACCAGTTTGCTTTCTTTGAACGTTCGAGTTTTTAGATAAATTAATCACAAATTTGATCTTAATCAAGTTGGCTATATTAATGTACTGTTTTTTTTTTTATACCTAGTTGAAACTCTCTTTATTAACTTAACTGAATTAATTTAAAATATCACTGGTATAAAATAAAAACATAAACAGCAAAATTAATTCCTAGGCTTCTTCTTCATCATACAAAATCACATATGAAAATAATTAAAAACAAAGAAAATAATTATAAAAAAAACTTATTAAAAGATATGCTGTCATCAATGAACTAAGAAATAATAAACAAATCAAATGCAAAAGCAAACTCCAGCTCGTTATCTTTTCAGATTTTTCGATTGATTTAATTAATTTTCCAGATGTTTTTAACACAGAAGAGGAAATTAAGAACAATAAAAAAAAATTACCAGGAGAGTTAACTAATTGTGGCTACTCTTTCTGGGCTTGCTTTTCCTCCTTGCTCTACTTCTTGAAGGCTCCCTAGGTAAAAACCCCTCCTCTTTTTTACCACTACCTTCTTCTTCTTTTACCTTCTGCTGCTGCAACTCTTCCTGCTGCTTCTGCTTTTGATCTTCATCATCCTCGTCTACTTTTGCTTTTTTGGAATCACTTTCTTTAGCAACATCTTCAGCTGCAGAAGCAGAAGCAGATTGTTCTACTGCTGCAGTGGATTGCTCTTCAATGATAATCTTGCGAGGCCTTCCTCTCTTTCTTGGGGTGTGAGCCTGCGGTTGCTGCTGGGATTCGTCTCCAGTTGATGAAGCTTCTGCTATTGCCACTGATAGCTCCATCGTTTTCTGAGGCTTCTTCTTCCCCATTAAAACTAAAAATAAAAATAAAAATATTAATCTCTCTATCAAATAATAAATATTTTGATGATAATTTTCATCAAGACAACAACTTTTCTCTTAATCCGACGAGAAGAAATAAAACCCACAAAGCCGAAAAAGATTCAAGAACGTATTATCTAATATTTTTCATAGTTCTCTCTCTCTCTCTCTCTCTCTCTCTCTCTCTCAAGTTTGAGAATAAGCGGAGAGAAAAGACAAATCTTTGACCTGGATTCTGAAAATCTTCGTTAAAAAATCCTCCCTTTTCCAGTGACATCCAAGACCCAATAAAAATTCGATCCGGCCCCTTCCTTCTACTCCTATTTGATAAAAATAAGCAAAAATATTATCAAAAAGTCACTAGAATAATTATATTTCCGTTTTCTTTGGTAGTACAGATTTCTCTATCCAATTCATGTCTAAGTAAAAGAAGCTACAAAAAGACAGAGGAGGAAATGAGGTCGAAGGCCAGTGAGAGAAAAATATATATGGACTGGCTGAGGGTAACCCTACCATATATATTTTAGATACTACCATGGTTAGGGGACTTGTCTGGGTTTTAGGGTTTTTTTTTTTTAGATAATAATTAGGGCTTTAGGGTTTTTGTTTTTTCAGAGTTGTTCTACACATTCTAAAATATTTATATTGCAATTTAGAATGTGCAATAGTTTTTAGTGATAGTCTGTTGGCATAAGCGATACTGAAAAATGAAGAGGAAGTGAACGTTTGAATTTAGGTCAGATTTAAACATAAATCCTCTTAACTAATTGAGTTACAAACTCCTTGAATTTTGGTGATACCCTATTCTCAAACCTTAATTTAATCAACAGAGATTTGAACACAAATTCAATGAAGAAGCGAGCACATCCACTTAGCCACTCGATTACGACCACATCTGCAAAGAAGGCGTTAGGGTTGGACCAAAGGCCAAATGGGTTTTCTCTCTCGGAACCAGATCCCCTCCAGACACAAAAGAACTGAGCCCAAGGATCAAATGATCCGGGCCATTGAAATTTGATCCAACGGCTACAATTATGATAACTTTTAGAGGGACCTCCTATTTGTAGATGTTGGATTAAATTTCAATGGCCCAGATCATTTGATACTTAGACTTAGATTTTTTAGATCCGAAATGGATCCAGTTCCCTCTCTCTCGGCCCTTTTACTAGTGTGTAATGTGAAAAATGCAAAGGGGAGTGGGGAGAAGCATATGGGTTTATTTTGAGGTAGGTTGGTCCTCTTTGGATTTGTGTCTACGGATCCTACAGATCAAGTCATTTTGGCAGTTTGATTTAAATCGTGCGATCAGATTTTTATTTATTTATGTCATTTTTTTCCTTCCTCTTTCACTTTTCCTCTCTGTCTCTATCTCTCCCTCTTCTAGGAGAAAACCCAGCAGCCACCAAACTTTTCCCCCAACCCAACCCAGCAGATTTTTGTTTATTGCTTTGAATCGTGTGGTTAGAAATTGTGCCAAAATCATAACATGACAAATAATTCATTAATAATTCTACTTTTAAGAAAGTCTCCTTAACATTTCTCTCTTATATTTCTCTTGTGACAAATGGAAATCTCAGCTCATCAATAAGACTAAATGGCAAATTTATTATGGTGCCGAAAGTAATTTAAAGATTTGGTTGACCGATGAACAAGGTCTAACCTTGTAATAGTCTTCCATCCATCATATCTTCTACGCGACACGCGACGCGTGGAAAAAGCCTGCATAGACGCGTCATCATCCTTACAGTTTTAAAGATTTGCCGACAGCAAGGTAGATGCGCCCCATGTGTCCCAGCACTTGCACAATACGTCGTCGTTTCTGGGCTATTCCAACTCGAAACCTAACTGTGTTTTTTAAACGATATTTATCTCAATTAAGAAGAAGAGAGCTAGCTTATTCTCACAATGGGTTAGTAATAATTAGTAATAATGTGATTCAAACTCATTGTGAACACGAAAGTTCCTTGAAACAAGAAACAAGAATAACGTGTACAAAATAATATTTTGTGTTTAATGATTTTGGGGTTACGATCTCTCTCAATTTGGTCCTCTGATTCTTTCTTCGTAGGGTGTAGGTTTGTGGATGAGTTGTTGATCCAAAGGGCCGTCGGGGCCTTATCTAAGGATGAACAGTTGATGAACGGATGCACTTTCTTCAAGGGCCGTCGGGGCTTGATCTTGAATATGGTTGTGTGGATTTCTTCAAGGGCTTTTGGGCTTGATATTGAAGGTTGATGGATGAGCGGATCTTCAAGGGCTTTTGGGCTTAATCTTGAAGAACGATTGGATGTGTGGATTTGTTGAGGTTGTTGATCCAAAGGGCCGTTGGGGCTTGAGCTTAGGATGAACGGATGATGAATGATGAACGCTTTCTTCAAGGGCCGTTGGGGCTTGATCTTGAATAATGGTTGTGTGGATTTCTTCAAGGGGCTTTTGGGCTTGATCTTGAAGGTTGATGGATGAGCGGATCTTCAAGGGCCGTTGGGGCTTAATCTTGAAGAACGATTAGATGTGTGGATTTGTTGAGGTTGTTGATCCAAAGGGCCGTTGGGGGCTTATGCTTAGGATGAACGGATGATGAATGGTGAACACTTTCTTCAAGGGGCCGTCGGGGCTTGATTTTGAAGGTTGATGGATGAGCGGATCTTCAAGAGCTTTTGGGCTTGATCTTGAAGAACGGTTGGATGTGTGGATTTGTTGAGGTTGTTGATCCAAAGGGTCGTTGGGGGCTTATGCTTAGGATGAACGGATGAACACTTTCTTCAAGGGCCGTCGGGGCTTGATCTTGAAAGAGGATTTAACGAAGAACGAAGAGAGCTTTCTTGATCCTTCGGAATTCTTGGGAATTTGGATGGTTGGAAGCTTTGGAGTTTCAAAGCTTCAAGGATTTGGGGAATTCCTCTTCTAATTTTGGAGTAGAGAAATGTATTTGTGAATTCCTTCATGCTTGATACCTTGATGGAGAAGCCTATTTATAGGCTTTGAGAATGAATCACCACCACAAAAATATTTTTTTCCTTTCCAAGCACCATTGCCTAATTTTCCCACTTAATGCAATATTGAAATTGAAGTGGTGTAACTTATGGCCTAATTTCCCACTTAATACCATTTTAAACTTGAAGTGGTGTAACTTATGGCCTAATTTCCCACTTAACACCATTTTAAACTTGAAATGTGTATGCTTTGTCATTGCCCAAATGAGAAAAACTTGCTTTGATCCGTAATGGATTGAAGTGTGCTTGCCTTGTCATTGCCCAACATGAGAAGAAAAACTTGTTTTGATCCTCAATGGATTGAAATGTACTTGCCTTGTCATTGCCCAAAATGAGAAGAAAAACTTGTTTAATCCTTCAAGGGTATTTCTTCCTATTTTGTTGAGTCACACGCCATGTGTACAATTTGTACAACACGTGGCGTATGCCATGTATGCCTTGACACGTCAAAACTTTAATGCATTGGTGAACATTTGTTTTACTGAAATTTCGATGTCTACACTCATCTTTGACGATAATCGAACATAAAACTTCTTACTTACAAATGAAGAGATTTTTATTTTGGTTGAAAAACAAATGGAACTTAATCAGATAATTTGTGTTTGCTGGTGATGTGGCATTGTGAAGATGCCACATGTGGTCAATGACAGGTTCCAGAGCTGCCACATGTGGATTTCAGCTTCGTCGTGGTCATTCAATTATGAGTGCATTCTTGCTCACCACCATTTAGTATGGTATATGCTCACCATCCTATTTATCACCGTTATGAGTTTGAATTTTAAGATTTGTGCTTATCCACTATACGAATCTCGAAATTCAAACTCATCTAACGGTGATAAATAGGGTGGTAAGCATACACCACACTAAATGATGGTAAGCAAAAATGATCCCTTCATTTGTAGGTTGTTTAATTAGTGAAATGCAAGTTTTTTATTAATTAGGGTAAATTACACAAAACTATCTTAACTATGGGTCGAACGACACTTTCATACCTCATCTTTTTAAAATGACAGGTCATACCTCATCTTACGAATTTGTGACAATGTCAAACCTCTGTTAGTTTTTCTGTTAATTTCTCCGTTAAATACTGAAGTGACTAGAGACGGGACCCACTTTTTATTAAAATTTAATTAAATATTAAAAAATTAAAAAAAAAAACCCAAAAAAACTCAACCCACACCCAGATGTTGGCCATTAACCCGTGTCCCCCCCCACTACCTCACCGACTTGAACTTCGTCGCAAATCAGACCGGTTCTTAGTCCGAGTTCAGGTCAACGTCATGGAATTGTGAGTGCAGATCGAGGGTGGTGGAGTGAGGGAGGCAAAGTAGTCGACGAAGATGACGTCGTGGAACATCGTCATTGTGATCTCTAGATTAGGGTTTTGGACGACCCAATACCTTCAGCTTCAACTCTCTCTTCGTTTTTCAATAACGACGACGGTGGCGCGACAATCGAGGCTGCTAGCGACGGAGACTCCGCTTGTGATGGGACCAGTGTCGTCGAAAGACGGGTAGGGCTGCGAGCTCTTATTGATTTGGAACGGCGGGTTAGAGATCGTGACCATATTGGGAAAAGGGATCCAGATATGCAATATTGGGTTCTCCGTTTTAGGGTTTTCAAATTGCGGCAACAATTGCTGCAATGGGAAAATGGGTTTTGTTCCTCCCGGGTCTGGATATTCTGTGGTGTTGGATTTCGTCGAAGTTTTAGCTTCGCGTCTTCTATCAAGCTTAAGTCTCGAGCTTATTTGTTTTTGTTTTTGCCAAATTTTATTTTTCTTTGGTTTTTTTTTTTGGTGGGGTGGTGAAGATAAGTGGCGGTGGGGTGGTGAAGATGGTGGAAGAGAGGCGGCGATGGGGTGGTGAAGGAAGGTTTTTTTTTTTTTTTTGGGGGGGGGGGGGGAGGGGGGGGACACGGGTCGATGAGGAAGGTTGGGGGGACAGGGAAGAGTTTGGTGGATGCCGAAGAGAAGAAGAAGGTTGGTGCGGGTGGAGGAAAGGGGAGGCTCGCACCCCTAGGCCATTAAAATTTTTTTTTTATTCTTAATTTTTGAAAATTGTAATTAAAAATATATTTAATTATTTTTTAAATCAGTTGGATTAGTGAGTGGATCCTGTCTCTAGCCACGTCATCATTTAATAGATAAATTCATAAAAAAACTGACGGAGGTTTGACATTGTCACAAATTCGTAAGATGAGGTATGACATTGTTACTTTTAAAAGATGAGATATGAAAGTGTCGTTAGACCAATAGTTGAGATAGTTTTTTGTTATTTACCCAATTAATTAACACCCTAATTAGATACTTAACCCTTTCGTAAATCGGTGTGCTTTACTTAATCACCATGTTTAGGAAGTTGGTTATGTCACGACATGGGGAAACAATAAAACATGTTTATTAGACAACGTGACAAGATTTATACAATTACAGATAATTGTTGTTTTATTTTATGCCTTACGAAACTAATTAAACCTTTTAGTCATTACAGGAGTGTTTCAGTGGTTGAGAACAAATTTCAGGCTCGTATTTTACTCAGGACGTCCTGGGTTTGATTCATGGCGCTCGTGAATCACACAATAGTGGTCAAGAAAGGTCAAAATGCCTCTGTAAATCTTCTCGGCCTTTCAAAAAATGAATTGTCGTGGCGAAACCACCAGCTGATCATTTAAAAAAATATATACTATGATTAAGTTGGCCACCTAATAAGA